TTACACATGGTGTTCCATCTGTATAGGTTACTTCCCCTTCCTCATTGCCTCATCAAATCATATTCATATTTCAAATCTTAGTTGAAATATCATGTTTTTAGGGAAGCATTCTCTGAATTCTCATTTCTGGATAGGATTCCTCATGCTTCATTATCAGTTTTTCATAACTGTGGTATTGGTGTTTAATATGTGTAATTATTTACTTATGTCTGTCTTCCCTGCCTGACTGGGTTCATTAAGGACTGGCTTCTTACCTGTTTTGTTCACTGGTATGTCCTTATTGATAGAAGTCTGCCTGCTATATAGCAAGTAGGTATTAGATGAAATGATGAAATATTTTCCTGCAACTAATATCCTGGGAAAAACATTCCTGCTACTTTAATAACAAAGGCATGCAACCCAGAAGCAACAAATTTCATGCTCTTTTACCATCTGGAAACCAATTATCTTATTCTTGTCTATTAGTTTCTGTTTGCCCATAATATCAAGGCCACTCAATCAACTGGTTTTCTATTAACTGTTGTGTACATTAATAGAATTAGAATCCATTAAGCCCTGATCTATAGTTTAAAGTGTTATAAAGAGAAGACAAAGCTATTTGACAGATCAAATTGTTTTCTCTTGGGCAATCAAGACAACAAAGATGTGGGGGAAAATCCTCCCCCTGCCTTTTTTAGAGATTTATTTATTTTTGCTTACAAAAACTGGGGTGTAGGCTGAAGGTACATGGGGTGAAAGATTCACCAGAGATAGAGTGGGGAGCAAAACAGCCAGATCTATTAAAATATACTGCTGAGGGGAGCAGCAGGCAAAAGAGGTGAAGTCTACTGTGCCATGTGGGTTAGCTCCTTGCCTGGGGATGGAACTCAAGTCTCAGTGGCTGACAACTGTTTGATTGCACTGTCTTTAACTCCTGCGCCATGAGACAGGTCCAATGCCTCCCTTTTTAAGTTAATTTTGCATGAATGTTCTTTTTTATACCTAGTCGTCTGTTCTCTCTTCTTGACCAAGGTCAGAATTTTAAGGGTACTGTTAAATCAGAAAGAGATTTCCTTTTCTATCTTCAATTTAATAACATTTGTTGAGCATATTCTATGTTCAAGTGGTAGGAGGTTATATGGAATATATAGAAATAAGGCAAAGGGACAAAGCTAAACTAAAGCAAACCCTGGAAATCTGACTGTAGAGTGAGACCACAGGAGGTAGAGGGTTGGGGGCAAGTAGCAAAGTGGGGAGGAGGCCCAATGGACTAGGGTAGACTGATGGAGGGATACTAGTGCTTTGAGGGTGGGCATAATATGGTAACATACATTTATTTATGAACTTGTGCCCCTAAAACAAACAATATGTAAATCAGCATTACCTCAATAAAACAATAATGTTTATGAAGAGGGAAGATAAATTAAATAGAGAACAATCATTTCTGTTTTCAAGGAGCCCGTATTCTACTGGAAAAAAATAATCACCTACAATAAAGGTGGGAATAAATTTATTAGTATACATCAAACGGAATTGACCTCTGACTGGTGAAGTAGGAGATTTCCCAGGATGTTGCTGATGATGGTGATGATGATGGCAGAGTGGATGTTGTGCTGATGAGCAATTTGTGTATCAGTATATCAGAAAGTATAACTGGTTGCTATACTTTATAGATTCCTCTAATTTAAATGGTAATACTGACTCTTTGTTTTTATTTTCAGTGTTGCCACATTTTTCTGTCTCAGTAGAACCAGAAAATAATTTCATTGGTTATAAGGACTTTGACAATTTTGAAATTACTATAAAAGCAAGGTAAGAAGGTTATTTTTCAGATTATCCTGTTAAATTGTGTGCCTATTCTGGTTGATGCATTACCCAAAGTGAGAGCTGTGACTTCCACACCCCTGTGTTATTGAACTATCAGTGACATATGACATGCACATTTAGGTGCATGGCATGTTGACTTAATGCACATACATTGGTGATATCTGTGATTTATTATCAATGTCTACCATGATTTTATTGATTGTGATTCTAGCTGATTCTGATTTTAGCTTTGTGGGTTATTTATCAGCCAAAAAAAAAAAAAACACCCTAATGATTGCTTGATTGATTTTAACTTTCTTAAAGATTTATTTTATTTTTATTATGCATACAAGAGCTGGAATGTAGGCTGGAGGTATAATGTTGGGGATAGGGTGAGAGGATTCACTAGATACAGAGTGGGGAGCAGAGCAAGTATATCTACTGAATGCACTGCTGAAGGGAACAGTGGGTGAGGCAGGAAAGGTCTGCTGTGCCATGTGGGTCACTGCCCTAGCTGGGGATCAAACTTGTGCTGCAGGGGTTGCTGATAGCTTCATAGTGCTGAGACTTAACCCCTTGCATCACCAGGGAGGTCCAAAAATCCTAATGATTAAATTCAAATATATATTTAGTAGTTAGCATGACTTAGGATATTAGGACTCAGATACAAAGTCTTTCTTACAATTTCTTAATGACTCAACCATTAAATTCTAATACTGCATAACTACTTCAAGACCTAATGCCTTAAAACCACAGCCATTTGTGAGGCAACTGGGCATTTCACTGATGTGGGCACATTGATATTATCTGGGTTCATGCACATGCCAGCCGTCAGTTGGCAGGTCATCTGAGGGCTGGTTAATGGCAGGTCTTACTCATATAGCTGATGTTTGGTGGCAGATGACAGTCTACAAGAATGATCAGGCCATCAGGACTCTCACTAACAGGCTGGCTTATAGCAGTAATGATGCTCAAGGAGAAATAATGGAAAAACAAAAGTCACTATGAGGTCTAGGCTAAAGACTAGTGCACTATTATTTCTGCCACATCTTTATGTTCAAAGCAAGTTCCAAGATTTGCCCACAGGAAATATATTCCTTTCATATCCTATCCATGCAAGTTGCTACAAAGGTGTTGGATACATAGAAAGGTGGAGAGTTTGTATTAATTTTGCAAGGAATTAAAAAACTGAGGTCATTTGAAAATAATAATATATAGTTTTGTTGAGCATGTTTTACAGCATTCCTTATATATTAGTTCATTTAATTCCTACAAAAACTCCATGAAATAGATGTTAGTGCTGTCTCCAGAATATAAGTAAAAAAGATGGAGGTACATAAACATTAAGTAATTTACTCAAAATGACACAAATAGCAAGTCACATATTCTGCAGGTTCCAGAGTCCATACCCTCAAATGTTATCCTTTACTGCCTCTCTTACCAGTATTAATTCCTAAAGTGTCACTTAGTCTCAACCAACATGAAAGGACCACTTGACAGGATTATAAAAAACAATTTTTAATGGAGACACTCTTTTGTTCAAACTATAAATAAGAAAAGTTAACTCCTAGTAGTTTTATTTACTATGCAGAAACTTTCCTTTATTCTGCCTTCCATTCTGAACTAAAAAAGAAATCCGCAGTTAAAAATACTTTAAAAGATAAAAAAATAAAAAAAAATTTTAAAAAAGTAAAAAAATAAAAAATTTAAAAAAATTTTAAAAAGAAATTAATGGTTTAAATAAATAATGATTTAAGGGAAAAAATACTTTAAAAGAGGTCTTGTCTTAAACTTATATAACAGTGAGATTGGACTTGCTGCTTTTAAAAATATTGGGAGCAGCTCCCCACAGCTCCCAACAAAATCAAGATAGTGACATGTCCTATAGAGAGGGGCTTCAGACCTGAGACTTTTGATCTTAAGATCAGTTTTTGCATCTAGAGCATAGTAATAATTTGGCTTTATTATTGCAGATGAAATGCAGTATGAGATGAAATGTAACTGAATGGAAGACACAAGCTTTATGTATTTCAAATTGTTATATTTTATATAAGTTTTATTATTGTAACCATGCTAGCAAAACAATTTTATGGTATTGTTGTTTGACAGATATTTTTATAATAAAGTAGTCACTGATGCTGACGTTTATGTCTTTTTTGGAATATCAGAAGACTTAAAAGGTACTCAGAAAGAAATGATGCAAGCAGCAGCACAAAGCACTATGGTAAGATGCTAAGACTATTCACTGGTACCTGATGGTGTATCGAGAATGCTAGAGATGAAAGTCACTTCAAACCCATCTAGTTCAATCCCTCATTTGATCTAGGTGTGCATATTGAAGCTTAAAACCCCTCCTTGGCCTCTCATTACCCTAGGACAAAGTCCACTACCTTTGGCATCAGCCTCCCTCCACATCCTGTTTCGCACCACTTACACCTTTCTTCTCCTTTGTGCTAGTCATTCCAGTCACTCAAATTTATTGTAGTGTCTCTTGCACTCCAGTTCTTTACAATGCTGCTCCCTCTGTTTGGGGATGTTTTCCCTTTGTCCCCTTCTGCCTCTTCGTTGCTTGACTCTTTCAGCCCCATTCTTTAAGTCTCAACATTGACACTGAGCATTCTCCCCCAGCTGCACGGAGCTAGGTTAACTGCTCCCGCCCACTACTTCCTTAGGCCTTGACTCTCTTTCAGTGAAGCATTTTTCATACTTTATTGCAGTGGTTTGTAACCAGAGATGATTTTTATCCCAAAGTGGACATTTGGCTATGTCCAGACACATTTGTGGCTGTCATAACTGGAAGAACAATACTTATGACAGTTAGTGGGGTAGACACCCTGGTCCCCTCCTCAGTGTTCTTGACATTATATTGTAGATTATGAAAAGGGTTCATGTCATTTTTCTCACTGTTTACATTCATTTAGTCAAATTAAATATCTTAAAACCTAACATAACTTTAGTTAAGAGCAAAAATAAGCTGAGGAGCTTGGATGGATAATGGGTCAGTTGTGGGAAGAAGTCATCTCCATTAGTAAGTAAAAGGTCTATTGAAACTCTGATGTTTAAGACTCTTCCAAGTCTATAATTTCATATAAAATACATTAAGGACTTAATTGAGGACTCAGCCAATCACTTTTCTAGTGAAAAATATTCCTTCCTCTGATTTGCCTAAAAATTGAGACCAGTAAAAACAGATGCCATTCATTTTTCTTTTTAAGTTCTTTTCTGAAGTAACTCTTTTGTATTTCCTCTTTTAAAAAGTTGACAAATGGAGTGGCTCACATCACATTTAACTCTGAAACAGCAATTAAAGAGTTGTCCTACAACAGTCTGGAAGATGTAAACAACATGTACCTTTATGTTGGTGTCACTGTCACAGAGTTAACAGGTAAGTTTCTTTTTTAACTTTCTGTTGGGTAATATTTAGACAATATATTAAAGTTATAAATAATTTAGACATTTGTTTCATATTTTCTCTCATAGCTAATTTTATTCTTTACATCATCAAAAATGAATTGGAGTATAGCTTTGCCACTCTAATGATTGGATCCTTATTGCTTCAACTGTAAAAGTAGAATAAAACCTGCCCAAATGATATCCCAAGTGGCACTGAGGACTACTTGGTTTGAACACAGGCACCTCAGTATTCTCACCTGGTGAGAATCAAAATTAGGGATTATATATGTAATACTTTTGATAAAGTACTACACAAATGAAAAGTATTGTTTTAGTTTCTTTATCTCTGTAATTATGGAGTTGAACTAAATGCCTCCAAAACCATGTTCAGCTATAATATTCAGGAATTCTGTCTAAAATTAGAGGTAATGATGTTTCTAAAATGGGTACATAAGGCCCTCCTTGGTGGCACCAACAGGTTAAGGCACAGCAGTGTGAAGCTATCAGCAGCAACTGAAATATGAGTTCGTTCTCCCGCCAGGAAGGTAACCCACATGGCATGGCAGGCCTCTCCTATCTTGTCCGCTGCTCCCCTCAGCAGTGTGTTTTGTTCAGTCCACCTGTTCCACTCCCCACTCTTGTCTTTGGTGGGTCCTCTTACCTCCCTCGCCTCTGACCCGTACCCCAGTTCTTGAATAGATAGGTAAATAAAACTTTAAAATAAAATAGGTATATAATATATACCATTAGGATTGTGGTGAAGATCAAAGAATCAACATGCAAAGTACTTAAAACAACCTTCTCTGCTTCCTTTCTTTTCTCTCCCCACATCTTTGCCTCATTTTCTCCTTCCCTTCTTTTCTTTGCCTCCTCCTCCCTTCTCTTTCTTCCTTTTTTCTTTGAGCCCTTCTGAACATCCTTAACATCTTGTCTAGAATTCTCAATCCCACTCCAATAATTTTAAATACTCATTTATTATTCCAATTTGGGTCAACTGAGATTTCTACCAGATTACTGTTTTTAAAGTGTTTTCGGGTATATACATATATATTGAGCACTCAACTAAAGGAACAGATAACCACATTGAACCCTTTTCTTTGTAAAGAAAATGAAAGTTCAAACAAATAATCCCTAAAGCCCCTTTCACCTCTTTAAATTTCTCCTTCTGAGTAATAGAGGAAGCATTGTGGTACTTATCTAGTTATTGAGCACCTTGTATCTGTCTGATTCTCAGTAGATGTTAGAGAATGATGATGAATATACACTCCTTACCCTGCATGTTGGATTTGACATGATTTAATGTTTCTTTTTTATTTCTTCTCAATTTCTTTTAAAAAATATGGTATGAACAGGACTTACGAGCTTTTTAAAAAGTATTGATAGACATGCAGGCTTACAAATATAAATGATGTGTAAATCAAGTTGCTTAGAAACTACTATCAGGTATAAATTTGGTATCAAAGAACTGTTTCAAGGAAAAATTCCATTGAGGCTATGGAGGGGGAGGGTAAAGGGAAAGGGGGGTTGGGGTACAGGGAACTGTGGTGGAGCTGTGGATGCTTTGGTGGTGGATGTATTGTGGTGGCATTCATTTAAAGAGGTGTGAACCTATCCTTCTGAATCATGCATAATTTGGTTAACTAATGCTATCTCAATATTTTTAAAACTCTTTTTTAAAAAAAGGAATTCCATGTATTCTAAGCAAAGTACTTAATGCTATTGACCTTCAGAGGAAGGTGAATATCTAGCTGGTTGCTGAGCAAGCACTGTTCTGAAGATGATCAGTTTTAAAGGACGAAATCTGTCTTAAAAGTAGGGCTTGGAGGCATAGATGGTAAGAAGGGTAAAGTACCCTCCATAGAAGGTACATACCAAGGATGGAATCGTTGATCTTTGAGAATTATGGCTTATCAGGTTGGTTGAAGAATAAGATATATAAAAGTGTATTAGGGAGGTGATATTAGGAAGGAATTTGTAGGACAGTAGTGCTTTGTATATTTTTCACAATTTTAATTCTTAAATTTTGCCTGAGGATGACCCTGAGGATGTCAGTGGAACCCTCAGAATTCACTGCACTACAATTACTCTTTTTCTGTATTCTTCTCCATTTCTCTCCAGATCTTGTGCTGTAATGGTGAACCTCCTATAAGGTCACTCTCTGGTTTAACCTTTCCTTCCCTTCTTAACCCTTCCATATCGCTAACTAAAACTGAGGCCAATAATAAAAAGTGTCCCTTCTTGGAATTCCTTCTCAGTTCAGACCTAAAGGTCTATTTTCACAAGAGACATCTCTCTATACACTCCTTGTTCATAAGGCCTTGGAAACTCTTGTGGTCTAAACTCTTGGCCCACTGAAGATGGACATCCTACCTACTGGTGATAAATGAATGAGTGCAGGAACTGAGTAAGTGTATTGGTAAGTATATTTAGAGACATAGACAAATAGATTGCCACATACATTATTACACTCCTAAAATAACAGGCCTGTGGTTTCTTCAGGTGGACTTTCCGAAGAGGCAGAAATTACTGGCATCCAATATGTCCTCTCGCCCTACAGTCTGAATTTGGTGGCTACTCCTCTTTTCTTAAAGCCTGGGATTCCATATTCTATCAAGGTAGATGAAGGAAGAAAATGCTGAATGTGGTTGTCTTTTTCTGCTTACAAAAACATGAGGATACAAATGGGAAGGATCTGGACAGACAAATCATAGAGGGAAGTCCTTTTGTAAAGCCTGTCCTTTTGTGAATGTGGACAGAGCTAGGGCACTACAGGGCAGCTTCAACCCTGAGGGTTGATCTCATTTCTTGGAAATGAGCCCCTGTCAGCAATTTTTTTATTTCCTGTGTGTCTCGCTTTTTCACTAGTCTCTATTCTCTTTGTGCCCAATTCTATCAAGACTTCTCTGTATGTTTTCTATCCTTCCCATCTGACTGTGTCCTTGACTGTCTTTTTTTTTTTTTTTGCTTCCTCTTTGAGGTTTTCTTCTTTCTCCTTTTTAATGTTGGTAGTATGGAGTTAAAACATTCATTTAATTTTTAAATTACATTTAATATTTCATATTTTATTATCTATACTATCATATGGATTATATTATATTATATTACATTATATTTTATATTATATATTTTATTTTATTATTTATATTAACTTTTTGTACCCTCTAGGAAACTAGAGCAGAATATCTATTTGAAAATTCATTTCTTTTGAAAATCAATTTTAATATCATTAAGTTGTATTACTTATTACTTACTTTGGGTACTATTTTTTTGGGGGGAGCAGGGGTAGTGGTTTTTAAGAGAAAAAGATTTACTAATACCAAAACAAGCTTTGGACATACTTGTAGCATCTAATACAGATGTAATAATAGAGTAATATAGATTACTACATATACATAATAAAATTTAATATGTCATAGATATATATTATAAAACATATCATTAGATAGAATACAATATTTGTATTACTCTAAAATATATTTTTATATTTCACATCACATGAAAGAGAACAATATGAAATATATCTTTGGGGGTATGTATGGTGGTAAGGAGTAGAAGTTAAAGGGAAAATAAGAGGCAATTTTTTTCCTTATAACTAAGGGAATTATTCTGGAAGTGGTTGTCTTACTTTCTCCTTTTTCCATTAGTAGGCCAGTTGAACAAACAGAAATTAGGGAGCAGACAACCTGTAACATCTACTTGGAGGACATATTAGACTAATATTTAGGTTCTGAGTCTGCTTGATATACAAGAAAATCCATTTAACTGAATAGAATTAAATCTTTCTATAAACTGAGAACATCTTTTGTTTACTGAGCTAAACATGAATAGTTTATACCTTAGTGGGGAGGAGGAAATTTATTTCAGAATTGTTACGCTTTAAAAGAAGAGATGAACTGTTGAGATAAATTTGGATTGTTCTGACAAACAGGTGCAGGTTAAGGACTCGCTTGACCAGTTCGTAGGAGGGGTCCCAGTGACCCTGAGTGCACAAACACTTGATGAAAACCAAGAGATGTCAGACTTGGAGTCAAAGCAAAGTGTAACACGTTCCACTGATGGAGTAGCTTCGTTTGTGGTCAATCTCCCATCTGGAGTGACGGTGCTGCAATTTAACGTGAGCTTAATTCTCCTGTTTGACTGTGTGTTTTGGCTGGTGTGCAGAACAGATGTGGCAGATTCTGTACTTCAGTCCAGTGAACAGTTCCACAATTTTGCATCTTAAGAAATAGAGACTACCAGAAACAATCTCCTAATCCATTCATTGGAAGACAAATCTATCCATTTTTTATTTGGCAATTATTTTCTCTTACATAGAATAATTGTATTAGAATCTTGAAGCTACCAAGTTAGTATGGCAGTAGAAGTCAGTAGTAGGAATATTCTTTTCTTCCCTTTGCATTTGCCCCTACTTTTTGTTTCTATTTAGGGCCATTAAAAGGTCAAGCGTAAAAGCTTCCTGCCATTTTTTCTTGTTGCATGTACCACATTGCCTTAGAGCTCACTTACTAGTCTTCTTATTGGGCAAATTATGCTTAAATTTCCAATCCCAAATAAAAAATTAGTAATTAATAATGCATGTGAGCATGTGCTGCAGCACATGTACATTTTCTATCATCTACTGAGCAGTTACAAAGTGCTAAGCATTGTGCTAAGAGCTTTATGTAGAACATATTTAATACTCATTTGATCAGCTCTGTGAATTAGAGAGCACTATATTTGCCATTTCATAGCTGATGATACAGAGGCTTCTAACCTCTCATGATTCAATAAGTTATCCAGAGTTAATAATGAGTGTGTAAATCAGTGCATATCTTATCTTAGCTCTTTTGCTGTTAGCAGCCAATAATGCTGTTATAACATCATTTATAAGCACTCCTCTGGGCCACTGCTTCACAGTGAAATTGGGCCAAGGTGAAATTGGGTCTCTGAGATGTTCATTCATACCTCCTGCCCCCAGTCTTCAAGACTTTCCCACCACTATCCTTCTCTTACCCCCAGTTCCCTCCATCCCAATCCAGAGGAAGGTGAATCCCAACTTGCTGTGATATTTCAGTAAAAGTGCGAATATTTGTTCTAGCAGCACCTTTCTGTCTTTATTTCAGACTTTCCCAGCCATTGTGCATAATCCCATTATCCCAGTTATTAGTCATAGTCTGTGTAAATTCACCTGATAGCAGCACAGCTGTAAAAATGTTAAAGTGACAGTGATTTTATTTTCCTTTTAACATTGGATGTTGTGAAGTTTTGAAATTCATAAAGCAAAGAAAATTTTTAAATATTTGTTTTCTATAGACCATTATCATCACAATGCACATGTCTGTTTTGGAAACTTCCTTTCAGGTCAAGACCAATGATCCTTATCTTCCAGAAGAAAATCAGGCCAGCAAAATGTACAGCGCAGTAGCATATAAATCTCTCAGCCAAAGTTACCTTTATATTGACTGGACTGAAAACTATAAACCTTTTCGTGTGGGAGAACATCTGAATGTTATTGTTACCCCAAAAAGTCCATATATTGACAAAATAACTCACTACAATTATTTGGTATGTATAATAACAATAGGTTTCTATCTATAACCCCACCTGAAATATTTTTGTTCATTTATAAGAGCATTAGAATGACCCCTTACACTTTTTTTTAAAAACTGTCTTTCAAGAACATCATCTAACCTGATGATTTTTTCAAAAATCTTTGAGATAAAGCATGTTTTTTATTACATGTCACAGATGAGGAAATTGAGGAACAGAAAGAAAAGTCTTTCCCATGGTCACTCATCTTAAAAGAGGAAGATTTGGATTTGAACTGGGGCTGCCTGAGTCTGAGATGCTTTTCACCAAAGAGAGGCTAATTAAATCCTCATACTGCCTCAGCTCTAATTCATGGGCAAAGATTACACCCTTATTTCAAGTAGGAAATCACTGACACAAAAGTGACCCAACTCCTGCACTTAAGAGTTGAGTCATATACCTGCTCCGGGTTTATAGCTCTGCGTGATCCCTGCTATATTACTTGTATTAAATAGAGGTGGCTAATCACTCTCATCAATGAAACCTAGGAAAGAATATTTTTAAAGTTTAAGGGCTTCCAGACAGTTGCCAAGGAAATAGAATAAATTATTCCAATGGTCAGGCCCAACAGGTAGTAATGATATCTTCAATATGTTTGAGAAAGAAAATAAAAAATAAAGATTTTAGATCATATTGACTGATGAAGAGTAGGGGACCATTAGGGACTATGTACAAAAACTTAGGCCGTCCTGCTCTCTAAGGACAACTTAAGGAGTCTTTGAGGACATTTTGGCCTTTTTTTTTTTTTAAAGATTTATTTATTTGTGCATACAGAACTGGGGTACAGGCCAGAGGCTCAGGGGTGGTGAGAGGCTTCACCAGAGACAGAGAGGGGAACAGAACAGGCAGATCCATGAAGTACACTGCTGAGGGGAGCAGTGGGCGGATCAGGAGAGGTCTGCCGAGCCATGTGGTCACCTCCCAGGCAGGCAGGGATTGAATTCATGCGGAAGTGGCTTTAGATCCTCAGTGCTGTGCTTTAACCTACTGCGCACCAGAGAGGGCCTTGGCTTTTTTTTTTTTTTTTTTTTAAGATTTATTTATCTATTTATGCAGACAAGAACTGGGGTATAGGCCAGAGGTGTGGGGCCAGAGGATTCACCAGAGACAGAGTGGGGACCAGAACAAGCAGGTCTACTGAAATACACTGCTAAGGGGAGCAGCGGGTAAGACAGGAAGGGTCTGCTGCACCATTGGGTCACCTCCCTGGCCAGGATAGAACTCATACCACAATGACTGGCGATACCTGTCTTTAACCCCTGTGCCTCCGGGGTACCCCGCTTTGGCTTCTTGGGATTTATAATATTTTAAACCTCCATTTTAGAACCTCGTCTCTGATTTAAACTTAATTCCCAAATAAAACACACTCTACTTAGTCACTTTTTAAAAATCATTAAAACAAAGGGAATTTTTAGTTATTGTAACTTAGGTGTCCAGAATTTAGCTGATTTTTTGATTATGTGATTTTTAACTAAAATAAGTATAACATTAACTAATTCTTGAGCCTAGCCCCTGAATCTGTACAAGGGGGTAACATTCTAATACTACTGGTCATTGTGAGACTCAAAGGAGTTAAGTAAAGGTTAAAGTTCTTGAAACATAGTAGGCTCACAAGTTAACCTTTTTTTCCTTTAACATAATTTCTACTTCTTCTGTAAACTCAGTCCTAGAGCAAAGGTTTTGTTTTTGTAGTCATTGTTACTGCTGCTGTTTATTTTTAGATTTTATCCAAGGGCAAAATTGTTCACTTTGGCACAAGGGAGAAGCTTTTGGATTCTTCTTATCAAAGTATAAACATTCCAGTAACACAGAATATGGTTCCTTCAGCCCGCCTCCTGGTCTACTACATCGTCACTAGAGAGCAAACTGCAGAATTAGTGTCTGATTCAGTCTGGTTAAATATTGAAGAAAAGTGTAGCAACCAGCTCCAGGTAAAGTACAAATCATAAATCACAACTGAATTTTCTTCTGAATAAAGAAGACTGTAAATATAGCTCCCTGTGAAGTTTTGACTCATACAAGTGACATTTTATTTCTCAAATGACTTTTTAGGTCCAGCTGTCTCCAAGTGCAGATGCATATTCTCCAGCCCAGCAGGTTTATCTTAATATGGCAGCCGAGTCAGATTCCTGGGTGGCTCTAACAGCAGTAGACAGTGCTGTATATGGAGTTCAAAGGAAAGTCAAGAAGCCCTTGGAAACAGTTAAGAAATGCCTTCCCTTGGGCACTGGCACCTGGTTGTGGTACGAGGGCATCTAGAATGGCTCCAGGGTAGGTTGTGGAGCAAGAACCAGGGAAGTTCTTATGGGAAGACTAAGTTTGTTCATATATAGTCTACTCAAAGCATGGTTCATAGAAAGGTAAGCCATCTTCATGTTGGTCCCCAAAGTACAAGTTTATCCTTTTGTTGTTTCCAAGTATAGAATTAATCACTTTAAAACCATGACTGTGGAGCAGTTATATTCAAGTTGTAGAAGTGGAGGTTTAGGGATTTAGGAGCAGGGTGGGGAGGGAATCATATAGCACAAAGGATGACGGGATAGGCAACCTCTGCGATTTTTGGATTTTGTTTTGCTCTTACTGAAGTCTGAAGTACAGAAGAATTCAAAAAATGATTGTATTTAAGTTCCCATTATCTGTCCCGTGCTAGTTGTCTAGGTTTGATTTTTTTTTTATGAACAATAAAAAAAAAGAGAGAGAGAGAAACTAAAGGATATTAAGGGTAGAAAACTTTGGGGATTGAAATTAAAATGGAAATGAAGTCCCCAAAGTAATTTTTAACCCTACACACATGAGTTTTAACCCTACAACCCACATCCCTAAGACATATGAGGTTGTGATTTTCTTTTTTACAACTTAAAAATCGGTTCACTCATTTATGCCCATTTATTCTTTTTGGTGGGATGTTGATTGCAATGTGCTTTGAACAAAACACCATCAGACAGTTTGCAGGACTGTTCTTAAGGCTTAAGACTTAATTCTGGATTTAATTTTGAATAGATTTATATTTATATATACAAATGAATAAATTAAAGGAAGGAAGTTGGGAAATTTGATCTTTGGCAATTTGATAAATGAGCAGCCTTTGTATCTCTGTACAATAACTCTTACCTTTAGTTATTCAGAGGAATGATTTACATATGGGAATAGGCTCAACATTTTGCTTTCCTGGGCAGGTATTTCGAACTTCAGAGAAGAGTGACCTGGGCTGTGGAGCAGGCGGTGGTCGTGACAATGCAAATGTTTTCCATCTGGCAGGACTCACCTTCCTCACCAATGCAAATGCAGATAACACCCAGGAAAATGGTAAAATGCTCAGCATTTTAGTACTGACGCCATAATCTTTTCCCCTGCTCTCTCCAATTATCTCTGGTGCTCTTATGTCTAATCCATACAGAACTATGTGTTGTGTGTGGGTGACAGTTTGCTGCTATGCACACACAGCCTTTCTTCTTCAGGACTTTTCCTTGTCAGTAGCCTGGAGAAGCTGCTACTATCAGATTCATCTCCTCTCTAAGTCTCCTTCCTATATAAAGTTGCATATTCCCTCCTTATAATAGGGAGAATATTGTGGGGACTAGATCTATTTCTAAATACCAGCAGTGCATTGTTGCACATTCTTATACTTGTTGACACATCTTGTTCCAGCCCCTGTACTCTGAGATCTTTAAAGGCAAGGACCTCATTTTAGTCATCTTTTGTGATTTTTAAGTTGTTCATGATTATACTTAACACTATTATTTGTAATGAAATATCACCAAAAAACAGAACAATAAACACAGCGTTCCCAAGAAAACCTTTGCTCATTCTAAATACTTAGCTACTTCTGTAGTCAGTGGATCAAAAAAAAAAAAAAAGTTTGCAGTATTCAAAAACAAACTCAGATCAAAGTGAAACTCTGACACTAGATTGTGATCCACTCTGAGATAAACCAAGTCCTATTAAGATATTAGTGCCCAGGCCCTCCCTGGTGGCGCAGCGGGTTAAAGCACAGCACTGAGAAGCTAAAGCCATTTCCGCATGAGTTCTGAGTTCGATTCCCGCCTGCCCTGGAGGTGGCCACATGGCGAGGCAGACCTCTCCTGACCCGCCCGCTGCTCCCCTCAGCAGTGTACTTCGTCGATCTGCCTGTTCTGCTCCCCGCTCTGTCTCTGGTAAAGCCTCTCGCCACCCCTGCACCTCTGGCCTGTACCCCTCAGTTCTGTATGCATAAATAAATAAATCTTAAAAAAAAAAAAAAGATATTAGTGCCCACTGCCATCTTGAAATCAGCCTCTAAGTAATTGTTGGAAAATGAGTGACTTGTGATGTTTTGAACTCTTCATTTCTTTTACGGGGTTTTATTTTTCTGGATTTTTATCTCCTTTTCTCCCTTTATCTTCTTTAAACAGATGAACTTTGTAAGGAAATTCTCAGACCAAGAAGAATGCTAAAGAAAATAGAGGAAGAAGGTACACTAAAAGTTTCATGTGATTGTAAATAAGTTATAGTCATATCATTTTTAAAGCTGGAGAAAGTTAGATATTACCTGATTTCCCCCAATTCAGATAGAATGAGTAAAAAGAAAGGTAGGTAAAGATCCCTTGCTTTATTCCCTTAGAAAGATTAATCCACGTTAATCTAATAATTTGTTTTTTGGAGCCTTAACTGAGAAACATTGGCGCTTGTGATTTTTACCTCTAAAATCTAAAATATTAACTTTTATTGTTACAAATAGTTCCCGCTACACACTTTATCTAGGAATTAAAATCATATTCTTCCATTTTATTCTCACAAAAGCCATGATTTGATTGAGTATGAGGTATACCTAACAGGCTGTTTCTTCTATTTCATATATTTAACAGTTGATAGTATTTTTGACTGTACTTTGGGAGCTATACCTAATCGAAATTATTTTAGATCAATTTTTAAAATGAAAATAAGATAACTGGCAATGTTACAATAGAAAGAACATTTAACTGAGAGTCAGTGACCTAAATTCAACCAATAATATATAATAATTTCTTCTATTTGTATGAGTCATTTTTATTCTAATCCTCATTTTCAGTGCTATGAAAAGAGGAACTAATTAGAGTACTTATGATGAAGAATGATGCTACGTGTACATCTTCAATCCATGTAATATTAAAAAAAGTTTGCAAAAATAGTATGCTTAGCTTGCAGAAAGAAATAGTGTATATTGATGACAGCTATCTTCAAATATTTGGGTTTCTCAAATAGTTGACTTATTTTAGAATGCTAAACTCAAGAGTTTCAAAAGTTAGTATTTAGCTTAGTCACAGGAGCCCTTTAGCCATTTAGTGTGAAATGTGGTGGACTACCTCATGAGCACATTCTCGACACTCCTGGGAGTTCCAAAGTGAGACTGGTGAGTCAACCAGACATGGTTTCTGTGAGGGGAGGGGGATCTTACATCAGTGGAAACCAGGTATTCTTGAGATCCCTTCTGAGCCTGAGATGTTAGGGATCTGCATAACCAATCACTTTTATTGGCATTTCAGCTGCTAAATACAAACATCTAATAGTGAAGAGATGCTGTCATGATGGAGCAGCCTTGCGTCATTATGATGAAACCTGTGAGGAGCGAGCTGCCCGGATTAAAGTAGGCCCAAAATGTGTGCAAGCTTTCATGAGTTGTTGTGCCATTGCCAGTGAGTTTCGTGCCAATTTTTCCCATAAATTTCTCCAGCTGGGAAGGCTAGGTAAGTCTGACTTTTCTACTAAAATTATGCCCAATTGTGCTAAGAAAATTAATTTTTATGCTTTATTGTAAATTGGAAATTAAAAAGATGATTTGTAAATGCCACCTCCACAAAAAATTAGTAAACGTTTAGAAGAGGCCTATATTGTATAGAGCAGAACAACTCAGCAAAAAAATTTCACCACTTCTGAACTCCAACTCCCTATTTTTAAAGCAAGAATCTTGGGCCAGAAAATCACCAATTTGCCTTTGGGTTATAAAATTCTATTGATCTGTGATACTATAACAATTATAAATTCTGTTTAGAGCCTCCCTGGTGGCACAGGGCTTACACCTCAATGCTATTAAGCTATCACCAGCCACTGTAGCCTGAGTTCAATCCCCAGACAGGGAGCTGACTCACATGGAGCAGCAGACCACACATGTCTCACCCACTATTCCCCTACGCAGTATGATTCAGAAGAGCCACCTGTTCAGTTCCCTCTCTGTCTCAGTGAGTCCTCTCGCCTCCCACACATACACCTCTGACCCATACCCCAGTTCTTAGATGCATAAATAAAATTTTTAAAGTTCTGTTTATACCTAAACCATATGTAACAAAATAATTCTAAATTTAGCACAGGTCAAATGTGCATATATAAAAACTGAAATCTTATTTTAATTTCAACCACAATGTATTTTTTTTAGAAATTTCATTTTATTTATATACAATGTCAAAAACAAAGCAAGAACAGATTGATAGTCTGTGTTTTATATTCTGATTGTTTTGTTTAACAAAAAATCTAAACTTGCATATTAAACATCATCTATCTGAATGGGTATATTTCTACAGATATAAATTTTTGTGGTCATTTATCAAAGTCATGTTATTAGATATATTTAGGTTGTTTTCAGAGTTTTGTTTATACTAAGTAGCACTTTCATGAAAAATCTAATAAATATGCTAAGTACTATATATAAGATATATAAAGCATACGTTTAGGTAGTATATACATTTTTCATCATCCAACATTTCAACTAGTTTGGCTTCAGCTGCAGGATGCTCAGTCTCTGCAGCTCTCTCCTGTCTGGTGTATTCTGTTCTCATTCCGGAGAGCTTGACCTTCTAAAACTCCCATCTTCATGTTTCTGCAATGCTTTATATGGGTTCTTTCCCCACCCTGCAGACTTAAGCTACCTCCACACATATAGGCAATTTTAGGGCTCACCTTATCTGTCTCCCTCTTCTTAGGGATCACACTTCTGGGTTGCTTGTGCTCTAAGTCTGAAAATCATTGTTTTATATAGTTTTCTAGTTTTTTAAGGTGGAAGGATCTTGCATTTGAACAGAAGCAGAAGTTTTATCCATGTTTATTAAAGTAAATATAAATAAATTTCTGAGCTAACACAGAGAATTATATAAACCTCCTTATTTTGAAACATATAAATATGAATGTTACAATTATAAAAATACAAATAACTTTATAGGCTCATCAGTATCTTACATAATCTTTGAAACACTGAATATTTAGCCAACATTAAAGATTTAAGGAACAAATAGTTAAATATATTTTTATGTTTTGTTTTGTCATTGTTACTATCATAGAAGTCTTATCCTTTATAGTTCTATTTCAAAATCACTAAACAAAATATCTCACTGATTTTAGAAAAAAGTAATTGTCATAGACAAATCTTCATATTTTAAAATTGACTATAACTAGAATTTGTTTTTTCCATAATTGATTGCATTTCTCCCTCACCCCAGGTATAAAAACTGTGTTACCAGTAACCAAGCCAGAAATAAGGAGCTATTTTCCAGAAAGCTGGTTATGGGAAGTTCATTATGTCCCCAAAAGGTATTATGCTTCCTTAATGTTCCTCTCAAAATATGTGGGACAGTGCAAATATTATGACCAAAAATCTAGCAGCTACTCATTTTCCAATAGTTTATTTGAAGAGTTAATATAGGGGTTTCCCTGGTGGCTCAACAGGTAAGGATGCAGCACTGCAAGCTAACCACAGCCTCTTCAGTGCCCAGGGCCTGCACGCTGATCCCCACAGCAGTGTACTTCGACAGTCAGCCTGTTCTACTCCCCACTCTGTCTCTAGTGAATCCTCTCACTGTCCCTGCACTTGTGGTTTATAACCCAGTTCTGTATGCATAAATCAATAAATCTTTTTTAAAAAATTAAAATTAAAAAAATAAAGAGTTAATATAATGCTACCAGTTTTAACAAAATTTTGTTCCATTTTGTTTCACTTATTTTTCAGATGTCTCCTTTGCTTTAGTAATTGGTTCGTTGTCAAGACTAGCTCTTAGGGGGAAAGGGTACTATCCCTTTAATGTCATTCTACTTCATTAAACACTGTGCACAACTATGTGTTATATACTATATAAAGCAACCAATTTCATCCTATAAGGTCTGTAAACAAACTATAAAACAAACATTGATTATTAATAAGAAAGGATTTTTTTCTTGTTAAAGTCCTTTATACGACACATTTTATGGAATGCCTTCTCTTTACCAGGCACTGAAAGCAGTGATATATTGTGCTTAATCACTAAGCATCATCCTTCTTTGGGGATTCAAAGCACTGACTTTTAAAGCAGTGGTCAAAATAGGGTCCCAGCCTGGCAGTAATCATCTATGGGTGTCCTTGTCCCTACCATGTTTCCTGTAATTCTTCCTCATCTATCTGCCCATTTTAGCTGACTTTTCCCATCTAGAAATGATTGGTATAACTGTCTTTTCCAGTTATATTGTGTGTATTATAATAGTCTTTTTCTTGTCTTCTACATTAAAACACAAATGCCTCTAGGCAAAGACTCTAACAGATAACTGTTATTTACATTCAGGATGTGCAACAGAATTCAGTTTAAAGAGGCACTAAAATGTGTTCAATCAATACATACTGCTTCTGAACTTCTAAAATACTTTATTAGTACAGTAGTTATAATGAATTGCAATTTATATACTTTATTGTACCTACCACTAGGCTTTATAGCTTAAGAGTAAATTAGCAGTATGCCTAACATAAAGTTATAACATTAGTGTGTTTTAATAAATATATATACAAGTTTAATGTAAATCAGAAATTTAAAGTTATGTCGGCATTTTTTTTTAATTTATTTATTTATGCACACAGAACTGGGGTATAGACCAGAGGTGCAGGGGCCGTGGGTTCACCAGAGACAGAGTGGGGAGCAGAATAGGCAGGTCGATGAAGTATACTGTTGAGGGGAACAGGGGCCTGGTCAGGAGAGATCTGCCACGCCATGTGGATCACCTCCAGGGCAGCAAGGATTGAACTCATGCTGAAGTGGTTTTAGCTTCTTAGTGCTGTGTTTTAACCCGCTGCACCACCAGGGAGGGCCCTATGTCAGCTTTTCAATGAACAATGTTAGGATGTATTACTTTCCCCACTTCAGAACATACTACAAATTAACATAATTTTCCCTTGCTTAATATGTTTTGAATTAGTGTTTCAAAGGCATCTTTCTAACTCAAATTCTCATTCTACAATAGAAATATTTAAAAATTTGAAACAAATAGAAGAATATTGGAAAGTATTTTTCTTCTTGATGCATCCTTAATACCAGATGTGATTCTATCTTACTGTATTTTTTTTCTTTCCTCTGAAGTGTAGTGTGAGCCAGAAATTCTGTTAGTGAATACTGTAGTGTTAATCTATATTCCACTGTATTTGAATATCAGCATTTTAATTTCCAGAAAGCAGCTGCAATTTGCACTACCTGATTCTCTCACTACCTGGGAAGTTCAAGGTGTTGGCATTTCAAATAGTGGTAAGCACACTTAAATTATTTTGGATTTAAGGAATGACTTGATTAGTAAAATGTTTTTTCTGTTTAGGCCTAGTTTGCCATAATTTTAAAAATTATGTCATTTAAAAATATGATTTTTAATGTGTTACAAAAAAACTTGGATGTGTCTACCACCTAAATTTCTTCTTTGTCTCTTCTTCTAGCCAGCATTTTATAAATAATAACATCAATTCCCACTTGCCTTTGTTTTTTTCTCAGCTACTAGTTCCTAAGTAAAGTTAGAATCAAATAACTTACTTCCAGCGTGTATCTTTTTGTGGTTTAACATAAATACTTTACAAATAACCTCAGGATCAGTTTTCATTTTTTTGTTGTTGTTATTTTTGTTTTGTTTTGTCTTGGAAAATCTTGGTTTCCACAATAAAATTGTATACCAATCTAGTGGAACCAATAGTGAATATCTTAAAAAGAGATTTGATGCTCTGATTGATAAACTTTCTCATGCCTTACATAGTATTAAATATCTACTGGACAAATATTAAAATGAAATCAATGAGTAGAAATTCTAGGGGCAACAGTGCAAAGGAAAACATGACTTAATATTCCTTTTACTTGAAGGAGAACAAATGTGAGACATTTTAGTGCTAATAAAGTAATATAAAAATTCCCTAATATCTTTCTACTTTGCTTTCATCTTGGACTTAAGGTATATGTGTTGCTGATACTCTCAAGGTAAAAGTGTTCAAAGATGTCTTCCTGGAAATGCATATACCATATTCTGTTGTACGAGGGGAACTGATCCAACTGAAAGGAACTGTTTATAACTATAGGACATCTGGGATGCCAGTAAGTGGTTTTTATTGTATGTTTGAATAAATACGAAAAGGGAGAATTGAATTTTCTAAGTATTATCACATACAACAAAAAATAAAAACACAACATCATAAACTAAGCATGCATAGTGAATTTTATAATAGACGTACAACTTAAGAAATGAGGGGAGAAAAAAGGAGGGAGAGTTACATATTCATATTTAACTCCATTCCATGTCAATTTAAAGAAGAATTCAAGTCACTATACCACCATATTTAATTTTTAAATTAAATTAGCAATAGATTTTTATTGTATCAGAACAAGAGGCAAGAACTTCTGTGGTAAGTACCTTTCTTCCTGTGTACGGGTCATGCTTTCTGATTTCTTTATATCCAGCAATTTTGGATTGAGCCTTGGACTTAATTAATGAAATGTTATAGACACTCTGGATTCTATTATGTTCCTCTGGAGAAATTTTATTTTGGTTATGTGTTTAAGCAGAATTGGCTAAATTCAATCCCAATGTCTGAAATCCCAGTTCATTTCTTTAACAGTGATGGGATTTTCCCTCAGGTGAAAGCCACAAAGAATAGGACCTAACCCAGCATCTTCCCATCTTCAAAGTGTCACCTTCTATTCTCTATTGTTTTCAGTTAGTTTTTAAACAAAATATATAGGTATATATGTATTTATATATAAAGAGAGAGAGTCTAGAGTTAATATATAAGATATATGTTTATATATATGTATGTATATATAGTCTATGAGCTTATATAACTTGTAGTTAGTAATTGTAGAAGAATTGTACAATTGGAGCTACTTGTCTATTACAAAAAATAGAAACACTGTTTTAAGTTTTTTAATTGCTCTTTTATATCAGTTTCAAGAATTCCATTTATAGAACTTACTAAAGGTTTTTACAACAAATATATGGTGAGTTGTATCAAATAGCTCTTCCGTATATATCCTTTCTCATCCTGCCCTGCTGGGGCAATCACTGACCTTGGGTGGCCCAATCATCATTTTTGACTCCTGCTTCTACCCATCCTGGTTGTATTTTTTAAAGAAAATAATTAACAGAGAGAATGAACCTCCCATTTCTGAGATAGTCCTCAAAACTCATTGTCAAATGTTGGCACTCTTTTATTGTTTACTTGCTTGATTTGGATTGGATCATATAGATGAATTATTTGGAGTATAATTCTCAATTCTGTCAGTTCAGTAGATTTTGAAGGAGTGATGAAGAATATTTAAGATTTGAACCAAAAGTCAGTAGGTACTGTGATTATCCCCATTACAAAGATGAGGGAAGGGAAGGTGAAAGGGATCTTGTAACCTGCTCTCAGTAGTTAGTAAGAGGCAAAGCCAAAGCTTGAGCCAAGGTCTTTCTGGGGCCAATTTCTGGTTATGAGATGGAGTGTAAGCAGAGAGTTAGTAAGAGATGATATTGGAAAAGTATATTGGGGAAATAGTGGGCAGGACCTTGAATGCCGAGAGAGTTTTCAGCCTTTCATAAAACCATCGTTTGTTGATTACCAAATGCTGAGCTAAAGGATACAAAGATGTGTTAAGTATGCCAGGACTCCTGTTGTCTTAAATATATTAACATAAATATATTTAATTGTTTAAGTATAAAGACAATAAATGTCATCATAGCAAGTAAACAAAGACTGTTAGTAGCTTCCCATCTGAATTAGTTGGTAACAGCTAATTGGGAAATTAAATGGAAAGACATTTCTGAGCTAGGATTGAGGTTTTTAGATATCCCTTCCCATTGTTAAGCTCTCCATGAACTTGCATAAGCTTTCTCCTCTGCATTGAATCCACGACATTGTTTAACACTGGAGATGTATCAGCAGTGAGTTTGTGAGGAAAGGGCATTTATATGTATGTAATTGTCCACTGGTGATATTTCAGTTCTGTGTTAAAATGTCTACTACGGAGGGAATCTGTATGTCGGGAAGTCCAGCCACTGGCCATCAGGGAACTAAGACCTCCAGATGTGTGCACCAGAAAATAGAAGGCTCCTCCAGTCACTTGGTGACCTTCAGTGTGCTTCCTCTGAAAATCGGCCTCCACAACATCAATTTTACACTGGACACTTCGCTGGGAAGAGAAATCTTAGTAAAAACATTACGAGTGGTGGTAAGAAAACATGCTTTTCCCCCAATTCTTTCTTAAAAAACACTTCACACTTAAAAAAATATATTAGCACTTAAGTGATTCAGAGAGGCAAAGCAAATGCTAACATAAATGTAATAAAATGTTAACATTTGGGGGACTCAGGAAAGATTCTGGGGGGGTTTGTTTAGCTTAGTTTTCTAGCACTATTCTTATAACTTTGTCACTATTCTTTAATCTGAAATTATGTTTGAAAATTTCAAATGAATAATAACAGTTGCTCACTGTTAAAATGTGAAATGTTGAAAAAACACAAAGAAGAAAATAAAAATCACCAAAAACCCAGATACTTAAAGATGCCTATCTTACTAAGTTGGTATATAGCTTTCTAGGTCTTCTCCCCAAAAAAAGACAATCAAAAAATAGGCCTTAAAGTCTGAACAACACATTATGGTAAGTACTGAGATACAATAAATATAATATAGCCCATGCATTCACATTTGAGAAGCTATAGCCTAGAAAACTTTCCATTTTGTAAATAAATAAAGAAGCTCAAAAAGGAAAACTATCATTGGTTAATTATGTGCTACTTACTTATACAATCTGCTAAGTATTTTCCGATAGGCTCGAGATTCTTGCTAACAGTCAACATGGCTAGTTCATGATGAACTAGGTCTTCCTAGTCTTCATTCTCTGAGTTGTTTTCAGCCTTAAAATTGACTTCAGTGAATGTGTATTAACTTATTCTGTGCATGACACAGCCCACGCATCTTTTGATGGTGTTTCCTTGCACAGAATCTGGAATTGTGTGCTTCTCCACTTCCTGACATTGGATATAGTTATTGATTTTGTGTGTGATTGTCTCATCTGTCAAACACAGTCAAGCACTACTTCATGAACTTTTCTTTGAGATTAAATGAGCAAATATATCCAAAGCACTGAAATCAGCTGTTTGGCTTATAATAACTTATGTTTAAGCATCTGCTCTGATTATTATGCAAATAGTCAGAAACATTTATTCCTGCATGTATGCATATGAGTATTTATACATATTTGGTCTTTTCCAAAAAGAAGAAAAAAATATCTTTTAATTGAAAAAATGGTCAAGAAAAGCTGATCCAGGAATTCAAGTCATAGAAATTTAATTATGTTCTTAACTTAAAGTTTTTCTGCATTTATTTTAGCCAGAAGGCATCAAAAGGGAAAGTTATGCAGGTGCTACTCTGGATCCAAAAGGAATTTATGGTAGGCAAAATGATTTTGTATTTTATGTGGGATCTTTTGCTCAAGAAATTAAAGTATATGTGTATCCTGAAACTCTATTTTTCAAAATGTTATTTGAATCAGAAATATACATTTCTTAGTTATTAATCATTCCTTATGTATATGTGATACTATCATCTAGTTGGGCTTAGAAGAAAGAATACTAGTTTTAAAATGCAAAGCTTGAAATAGTAATAATTGTATTACTTTTTATATCAGTCATTTTATCTCCATCACAATAATAACTTATATTTTATAGAACTATCTGTCCAAGGAACACCTAAGAAAAAGCCACTTACATATATATTTACATGTATTTTTTTAAAACACAAATAACTTTGACTAATTACATAGACCCATTTTCATTGGTCCTGCTTTCTTATTTTTCCATGAAATGAGAGATTCAATCTTCTCAAAGTTTTACAAACACTTAAGCACGTAATCAAGACCTAAATATAATATGTATTAATTAAATTTGGAATGTGCTAGTTAATTGTTTTCAACAAAAATTACCTTATTTTTTCATCAGATTGTTTTTCATTTCTTTTAATGATATTGTAATAGGGTAAGGAATTAGCTACAAATCACAACCTATACTAAAGGTGTCATATCCTCTGGGAAAGGAAAGAGTCAAGACATTAAAACTTTAGTCATCTGCATATTGTAAACTGAATAAAGAGGACTTTAATATGAGAGACAACGAAAAATCAATACATGTACACGTATCCATATGAGAACTTTTTCTGTAATGTCTTCACACAAACTTCCTCCCATCTGATAGTGGAGAAACAAAAGTCCTGCCACCTGCAGTTACCATGTCCTTTGACTGCTTTTCCTTCTCACTATTATACTGACATTAGAACAAGCAGCTTTCTAAAGTGGCTTGATAAACATATTCTAGATGCAAGATAAGAATGACTTCTCTCTAGTGAAAAAATCTCTCCATTGAAAAGTTTGGTTAAAAAAAAGACCTATGTTTCTTCCCAATCATTTGTCATTTTTTTACTACTTAGATTTAGGTGTCTGTTACTTTCTAGAGAACTAACAGGATAAAAATTACAATCATTTCTGTCCAATATTTCAAAGATCTTATTGAATACTTCCAATATTTATACATATTGGAATTGCTATGCCAGTTTGATAATTCACATAATTCAGAGTTTTTTTTTTTTTTAAGCCTAAAATGTATTTGGAGAAGTAAATAGAAATAGTCAGTAGTCTTAGGAAATCTGAAGAAAAAAAAATCAGTGTGAGAGAAGAAGGTATCAGGAAAAAATGACCAAGAATAATTTAAATTGTGTGACATAGCTTAAAAAGAGACAAATGGGGATGCCATACTCAAGACTAACCCTAGTCTTTACCTTTTCTCTCTCCCTGACTACTACTCCTCTCATCTCTCCTCATATCTTGGATGCAGAGTTCAGTTCCGCATCCTTCCCTCACTTCCTGGCAAACTGTCATCACTGGTCTGGGCAAGCCCCTCTCATGTTTTTCTTTCTCCCTTCATCCTTGGCCCCCACTCCCACTTCCCTGACTCCAGAGGCAACTACTCAAACATGTGTGCTATCAATCTTTTGAGTAGGTAGGTCATGTCTCATGTCTTTGTGTCTCTTTAACACATATCATAAATGCTGGATGATTTCACTTCTATGTGGAATATAAAGAAGTGAGACAAAGGAACAGACAAAACTAACCCGAAACAAACCCTAGAAATCTGACTGTAGAACTGGGATTATTAGAGGGAGGAAGTAAAAGGAAGTGTGGTAGAGGATTATAGGTGCTTTGGTGGTAGATATGGTGTGGTCACATCCATCTGAAGAGGTATGAACCTATACTCCTAAATCATACACTGTGTTGTAAATTAATGTTACCTCAATTAAAAATATGTATATTGCATATATGGTTTATATTATACTATAAATCATATGCTAATGCTTTAACTTTTTTAGTTCAATATGCTGTTTTTAAAGAAATGTCTCTGTTGCTATGGGTACATTTAATTCACTGCTTCTTACAGAGTGTCCCAGAGAGTGTCTCACCACAATTTTAATATCCTTCGGTTAGTGAAGGGTTCCCCACTGCCATAAAAATGCTGCTGTGAATATCTTTATGTGCTTCTATGAATCTATAATTGAACATTTCTCTAGACGTTATATCCAGAAGTGAGACTGCTGGCTCAAAGGCCATGCAAATATTGAATGTCATTTACTTCTATCATTCTTTGGAATGAATGTACTATTCAGATCACAGTTCCATTTCTATTCGTTCTGTTACCTTGAGTAATTTGCTAAGTGTCAGGTTCCTCATCTATAAGATAAAAAAAATAAAATACCTATCATGCAGGATTGTTGTAAGGATCCAGTGAATTATTACATTCCAAGAATTTAGCAGAATGCTTGCTATTCTTATCAGTAAAATGATAAATATGATCACTTTATGAAATAAACCAATGATTACAGTAGATATAGTAGAAATGATATAGTAGTCTTATAGTAGACATGCTCTGATGCAGGTAGGCTCAGACTCCGTTGTACAGTGAAGAACAGCATCTAAGGGAGACCCCAAGGGAAAAGAACAGCATCTAAGGGAGACCCCAAGCTTCCCAATGAAGCTAATCATCACACATCCTAAATAACATGTTAGTTATTTTAGATTCCAGTTCCAAGAACAATTTTCTTTCTTTGGGGGAAAAAATTATATGCACCTTTTACTAATAAAAGATGTATACAACTTATTTATTTTCTCTCTCTTATAATGACCAGAAAGCTTACAGATGAAATTAATGTATTTAAAGAGCAAATATAAACTTAGTCTTTAATAAAACTCAGGAATTTTTAACTTTGTGCTTAAATTTTAATATTGCTACTATAAGAAAACCGTATTTTTAAAAATTCCTTGGATGTAGGTATATTATAATCTGCAAATCGTCTTCACTCAAGAATGCCATGTACAACCAGTCTTTCTAAATTTCAGGTCCTGCTAATAGACAGAAGGAGTTCCCATACAGGGTTCCATTAGATTTAGTCCCCAAGACAAAAGTCAAGAGGATCATGAGTGTAAAAGGTAAATTAACAAATGTCATTTTATTTCTCAATTTTTTTATTTGAACAAAAATCAAGTATTTTCATGATTATTCATTTCTCCTCTTCTCTACTCACCATATACAGTTCTACCTCTGAGAGTGCCCTACTCCTACGAAAGCCCCAACCACCTTTCCCAATGTCTCCTTCCTTTGGCCTCAGTTAATGGAGAGTCATTCTCCCATACTGGAGGGAGGGGGCTTTCATTGGCTTAAAGGCTTCTCAAAAATGGGGGTTCAACTGCTTCTAGACTTAAAGAATTTTTCACCATCTTAGTGGCCAGTCCTGCTTCATAGAAGGCTTGGTGACCTGTAAGTGATCCCAAGAGAGCAGCATTGCTCTGTCAGAATCCCAGTCCTGGGGTCTCTCTCCTCCAGTGTGTTTGTAGAAGTGGTGTGTTTGGTGGGGTTTTCCTGGTTCCTGGTTCCTGTTCTTGACCATTCAGTAATATTGCCCCAAAATAATAGACTGTCCTGAGAACATTTTATGGCTTTATCATATAAAATCTTGAAATCACAAAATCTTAGTTGTGGAAAGTACCCTTTGATCCTCCAACCCTGCTGTTGGATATATATATATATAAAAGGTGGCTTACCCCAGAATGAAGTGAGTTATGTATGGGTGGAGCCCTCCCAACACTTAAAGAGCATTCACATTTGAGGCTGTTTGCTTTGCTTTGTAGGAGGGTTGATTCTCAGGGCTTACAGTATTTAAAGATATCGGGTTGTGGGGTAACAATTTGCCATGTCCTCTACACAACTTACTACATCACACCATCTCACCATCTTGTGACAGGAATTTTTTTTTTAAAAGATTTATTTATTTGTTCATACAGAACTGGGGTACAGGCCAGAGATATGGAGGGTGAGAGGATTCACCAGGGACAGAGTGGGGAGCAAAACAGGCAGATCGACCAAGTACACTGCTGAGGGGAGCAGCGGGCGGGTCAGGAGAGGTCTGTCGCACCATGTGGATCTCCTCCGGGCAGGTGGGGATAGAAATCATGCGGAAGTGGTTTAAGCTTCTTTGTGCTGTTCTTTAACCTGCTGCGCCACCAGGGAGGCCCCCCCACACACACACAGGAATTTTTAAGCTTGTTTTTAGTGTTTCCTTTAAAACTATCTTCTTAACAAGATCTTTTTTTTCTCTCTTTCACCAGCTGAGAATTAATTAAATTACCTTTATGAAAATGGAAAAGAATAGTGATGATTACTCATCAGTATTTAAACATACTAAGGTTAAAATTAATAGAAATTGTGATCTACTTGTATTTTATTTTATTGTTTCAGGAATGCTTCTAGGTGAGGTTATGTCTGCAGCTCTGAGTCAGAAAGGCATTGAAATCCTTACCCACCTCCCCAAGGGGAATGCAGAAGCAGAACTGATGAGTGTTGTCCCAGTATTCTATGTTTATCACTACCTGGAAGAAGGAAGTAATTGGAAGATTTTTTATCCTGACTCATTAGCTAAAAAACAAGACATGGAGAAAAAAATGAAACAAGGTAAAAATATCTACTATATCTATTATATATAAAGATCTTGTAATTGCTGGACTAATGTTTAATTGAATTAGTACTTAAGTTGCTATGAGTTATTATACAAAAGTTTAACTGTAAAGCATTTCAGCCCCTCAAAAAAATCCAGAGGTGAACTTAACTATAAAAATAAATACTGTTTAGGCCCTCCCTGGCACAGTGAGTTAAAGCACAGCACTGCAAGCAAGTTGCAGCTGCTTCAGTGTGAGTTCCATATCTGACCCCGGAGGTGATCCACATGGCACAGCAGACCTCGCCTGTCTCGCCCACTGCTTCTCTCAGCAATGTACTTTGTCAGTCTGCCTGTTCTGCTCCCCACTCTGTCTCTGGTGAATCCTCTCACCACCCCTGCACCTCTGACCTGTATGCCAGTTCTGTATGCATGATAAATAAATGTTTAAAAATAAATAAATACTATTTGGAGCATTTTGGCTTAACTTAACAAAAGGCCTGGATGAGAGACAAGACACCTGGGTTCCAAACCCTATAGACACTTCCTTCCTTCTTAAATGAACTCAGAATGTTCTACTTGATAATTCCCATTCAAGCAATTCAAATATTTTCTCTGAGAAGTTCAGTGTTGGTCAAAATAATATGCTTGCTGCCCAACCCCAGAAGAATTTTCCTATTCCCATGAAGCACTCTTTGAGTGAAAATGCAGGTCAGTGAAGCATTGTATTCTTTCTCTGGTGCCTCTTAGGAATAATGAGCATCATGTCCTACAGAAATGCTGACTACTCTTACAGCATGTGGAAAGGTGGAAGTTCTAGCACTTGGTGAGTGAAAGATTGACTTTCTTGTCTGTTGTTTTATTACCTAACCAATAACACCTTCGTAGAAAACATGCATCCAGTTGTTCAGCCAAAAAGTCTTCACTACTCGCTTACAAACCACATCTGAGCCAGCAAATATTTTGGCTGCACCTTCAAAATATATCTTTAACTGTTTCTCATCAACCCCATTGTAACATCCTGGCACAAGGCACAAGTCACTCTCCCCTACCACCCGGATTATTGCACTAGCCTCCCCTGGTCTCATGGCTTCCATAATTGTCCCTCCTCAGTCATACCCAAACAGATGCAGGAATAATTCTGTTAAAACATGTTAGGTCACACCTCTGCTCAATGCTATTTAGGAGTGGCCTTTTTTTTTTTTTTTTTACTTTGCACTCTAATTGACATATAACATATTAGTTTCAGGTGTAGAGCACATTTTTAACACATTTACAATCTAGAGTAATTGACCTTTAGCACATGCCCTTTCACTACTGAGAATTCACTGGATTTTATAAAAAACATACTATCAATCTTTGACAAAATGTTTAATTAAAACACAGCATCCAATCACTCTATAGATTCTACTGTATAAAATATTTTTAACAAGTTTACAATCTAGAATAATTGACGTTTAGATCATGTACTTTCACTATACATAGTCCACAATATTTCATTCTTTGTTCTCCTATTTTCTGTAATCTCATCTTTGCCCATGACCTTCACAACTTCCATGCCAGTGGTTTCCTAGTCGTTTCCTAGTTGATTTATAAAACTCTGACTTCTTTCCTAAGCTCCTTTGAACACAATCTATGACAATTCCTTTGAATACAATCTCTTGTTTTTCTATTCCCTTAATCAATGCGTAGAAGCACTTTATGCTTTGTCCACACTCACAGGCTTGACTCCTTGCTTTTTTTTTTTTTTTAAACTATATATCTAATCAGTCATCAAGTCCCACCGAGCTAACCATGTGTGGGTAGCATGTTTTAAAAGAAAGATGTGTAGACCCTAGGAACACACTAACCAGAGGATAACCACCATGGTCAGGGGTGGGAATTGACACAGACAGAAAACTACCACAGCAGTAACTAGATGCCTGGAAACAGGAAATTCCCCAAACAAGATGTGTCAGTAAACACCCAGAACCTCTATACAATTCTAGAGCAAGTCTTATGTAAGACTAAGATAACATCTTGTCAGATGCATAGAAACATCTGGAGACTATCCTAGAACAAATGCCCTAAGTTTCTTGAAAGATACATATACAGAAGAAAATGGCAGTTGCCTGTATTCTTTCAAAAATAATTTTGAGAAATACAGGGAAGATACAAAACCTAATAAGGTTTCCTTGTTAGGTAATAAATTCTGCTTTTATTGTGTGGATTGGGCAGAGAAGAGATAACTACTCCCAAATATTGGGGAAGGGAATTCAGACCTCAGATGGGGGTAGATTAAATGCCCTGTACAAATTTTATGAATTAGAATTTTATGATCTTACTCTTCCATGGCTAATGTTCATGGGTCAGTGCTTTGACTTAAAGCCATTTGTTTTGACTATTATCTTTGACTTTTGAGATTTTTTTATCATCAGGCATCCATTTTTAGCTTGTGTGCTGGCTGATAATATTGTAGTCACAGAAAATATGCTGCTCACAATTACTGACAATATTTTGGAGATTTTCTTAAAATCTTCTTTTCCTTTGTAAAACCATGACAACCTACTTAGGAATTATATTTGAGTGCTGCTTTCTTTTAAGCAATAAACATTGTATAAATTGGAAGCCAAAAAAGAACTCAATGTCTAAATATTTGTTGACTGTTTTTTTTTTTTTCTTAAAGGTTAACAGCTTTTGTTTTAAGAGTGCTTGGGCAAGTAAACAAATACATAAAACAGGACAAAAATTCAATTTGTAATTCTGTTTTTTGGCTGGTTGAGCATTGTCAACTAGAAAATGGATCTTTCCAGGAAAAGTCCCAGTATGAACCAGTAAAATTGCAGGTAAGAAACTGAAAATTACAAGTTAGCAATAGTTTTATTTGCAAATTTGATTTTGTTCTCATCCCATTTTAGAAGGATGAAAAAGAGAGGAAGAAAATATATGTAGTCCTACAGGAAACTCCTTGTACATGCAGACAAAGAACTTGAAAGGTCTTCTTGTACTGCCCTTCAGTCATTTCTACTTAGATCAGATAAATATTAGACATCCTGTATAACAGGCATTCGTAGTTCACAAGGTGTGAATGTTAGAGATCTCAGCAGATCTGAAATGTACTAATTTGTCTGTATATCCTTGGTATATAATCTATACCTGAAATTCAGAGCCTTCTTGTAGGGCCAAACTCTAAGGTGTTGTCATATAAGATGGAAGGGACCCAGTTATACTGTTAGCAAGAGAGATTGGGTTCAGTTTATTAAACACTGCAACAAACTGTTATATGTGATTGGAACCCACGTATATGCTTAAATTACAAAGTAATTACAATATCTGTCTAAAATGTCACTACATTATCTTTCCAAAGCCATTGATCTTTCACTCCTTAGAACATTTTTTAAAGACTTCAGCACATTTGGGGTTTATTTTTCCTGCCCCAGTCTAATCCTTTTCATATCTGGCATACTGACTCTCTTACTAAAGGGATCTCACAGTGGTCTTCATTGCACTAATAGATTAGGACACCAACAAGAGATGAGGATAACTGACATCATCTGGGCGCTACTTGAAGAATAATTTTTTTTCTTACAATATTCACCTATCCACCCATCCTTTCATCCACCCACCCATCCATCTATCTACATTCATTCAACAATCATTCACAGAACATCTAGTATGTGCACAGGTCTATTATGGGCACAATGGGTGAGGGAAGTGGAGAAAAATCCATACTATCCCTGCCGTGAAGGAGCTCACATGCTGGTACAAAAAGTAGGGTATAAAAGCCAGCAATTCTGATCAAGAAATAAGTATGCATGCTCATTCAATAAGTATTTGTTAAATGTGTACTAAGTGCTGTCTAGCGGACACACAACGATGAACAAAACTGTTGTGGTCATTAAAGCCATAGAGCTTACAGCCTGGCAGAGATATCAGACATTAAGTCACTTCAAATGTATGGTACTTGTTCAGAAGAAGGAAATATTTCATTGACAGCAAGGGTCTAACTTAAATTAGGAGAGCTTAATAAAAAAAAATAAATGAGCTTACCTGGGAGAAAGAGAGGCAGGAAGAGTGTTCCAAGGAGAGTAATCAGTATACCTGGTATTTTGAGGTGGAGAGAGGATGGTTTGTTTAAAGAGCTTGCAGTGAGTGGCATGGCATAAAGCTGGCAAGGTAAGTCACACTTCTTGGAAGATCATATAAATACTGCATTGAAAGTCATTGCCCTAAAGAGGAAAAAATATGGACAAATAGCTCTTCAAAAGTACTTCCTTCTGGAGGTGACATTTTAAGAGGATCTTAAAGAAGGGGGGTCAATTAAAATGTGGTGAAGAAGTATAAAATGTAGTTTCAAGATGGAAAGGTGGGAGAGAGATGGACAAGTGAAGGCACATAGGAGTTTACTGAGAAGGGGTGAGCAGTCCAGCTGGCGTGCATGAAGGACAGAAAGAGAGGTTCAAAACAGAGATTAGAACAAAGTTGTTCCACTTTGAAAACATTTTACTCTCTTTTTTAAACTTGAATTATTTTTTAGGGTATCTTGCCTACAGAAACCAGAGAAAAAACTTTGTATCTTACAGCCTTTGTTGTGATAGGAATTAGAAAGGCTTTTGATATATGTCCATTGATGGTAAGTAAGATTTCTTTCTCTAATACCCATTATCTGTTTCTGTACCATGTACTGGGGTTGGGGGACACCTTGAAAACAGCTTTCACTCCAGAATCTAAGGACTTCAGAAATAAGATAGATATTAAAAACCACCTAGCCCAGCCTACTCTTGACAGTTGAGAAGACTGAGACCTGTAAAAAGGATGGATTTACCTGTCTAGGGTTGCAAGCTACTGAATTGTAGAGCTGGGGCCAATAACTTCATACAGTCATGAGAGAATGACTCAGTGTCCCCAGCTTCCTTCTTTTAACTCTGCCCCATGAATGAAGTGCATGTGCCAGTTGTTACATAGTCGGGCACTCTGCAAGTACTAAAGATGCACTGTGGCATGCTTGCTTCTTTGAGTTGTGTTGCCTCATTTACTTGGAAACTGAGGAGAGAAAGGTAACAATTCACCTAAGTGATCAAAAGAAAGAACCCCAAAGGGAAGATCTGGGAGAGACAGATCCCTGAGCTGATGTTAAAGACTCTTGCCTGTTAATCACAGGTAAATTAGATTTTTCCTTTAAACCAACATACAGAGCTGAGATGGAAAAGCCCAAAGGGATTCATAGGACATGAACCACTAAACAAGACAATATTTCAAGACAATAGTTTGCTTCAAGAGAATTGATATTTATATTTAACAGTACAAAACATTCAACGAGGACCATTTCCCAGGGGCCTAGGGACAAGTTAACATCTTTTGGCACATAAATGGGAGACAGAGCTGGAGCCAGAAGAGCAGCAACCAGGTGAGATGCTAACAGCATCGCACCAAGTCTCCTCCTAGTTCACTTAACCAAAATAACTGTTAATTGTCTCAGGACAAAGTTATAGAGATAATTTCCCCATGAATCCTTAGGATCAAAAAGCATTATAGCAAACTGACTCTTTTCCACTACTTAACAATTGTATTTAGTAAAACTCCTTTTGAATATGTGAACCTGTCTCAATTTGCTGAGGGGGAAGAGTGAGAGGTAGTTGTGTTTGATGCTTCTCTCTGGAAGCTAGGTCTGATGGGGGAAGCAGAAACTAAAGGTTAAAACTTATCAGGGGAAGTGAGATTTCAGAGACAAAAGCAAGCTCATTTGGGGAACCACTTTTCCCCTTGTGAGATTAGGCATTGCCCCTTCTTCTGGGAAGATTTGTTTCAACAACACATCCTTTCCATTAGGTCACTTCTCTTCTCAGCCTTTCTACCTGCTTCAAGATAGTGCCTCCTGGGGGACTTCACATCAGTTGATAGAAAGGTTGATGGTTAACAAAGAATCTCAAATTTCTTCTGCTCTCATTTTCAGGAAATCGATAAGGCTCTAACTAAAGCTGATAACTTTCTGCTTGAAAACACCCCATTAGCCCAAAGCACTTTTACACTGGCCATTGCCTCTTATGCTCTATCCCTGGGAGATAAAACTCACCCACAGTTTCGCTCAATTGCTTCAACCCTGAAGAAGAAAGCTTCAGTTAAAGGTATGACTTGCTCCATACATTTATTTAGCAAGCCTTCCTAGACATGGAGAGTCTGCTAATTCTGGGGAGGGGATGGTGGCCTGCAGAGTTAACAAAGAGACAGTCCCTGCCCTCAAGAACAAGCCATCACAACATAATGTAATAAGTGCTAGCACTCAGTCACTCATTCATCCAACATCTCTTATTCTATTATTCATTCCTTAATCCAACAAATTGGTATTGAGTATCTGATATGTGCCAGACACAATTCTAGGCTTTGAGGTAAGGCAAAAAAAAAAAAATATCAAAAACAATTCCAGACTCTTGATAAACTTACATTCTAGTGAGAGATAGAGAATAAATAAACATTGACTACAGGAAATTGGGTGGTGAGGAATTGATGTGAGGGTGTGAGCTGTAATTTTAGATAGGGTGGTCAGGCTTAAGCCTAACTGAGAAAGTGGAGACCTGAAAGAGGTGAAGAAACAAGTTGGTGGCTTTGGAAAGGATGTTTCTAGGAGAGAAGTAGCATGTGCAGCCGCCATAAGGCTGCAATATGCCCGGTGCTCCAAGAAAATGTATGAGGCTGGAGAGGAGTGAACTGCTAGACAGGAAGGGTGGGTGAGAGGTCAGGTGGAACCATGAAGATCATCCCCATATCATCCCCAGAATTCTGCAGGACTTCTGTGTATGGCTGTACAATGGACAAGGCGCCCAGTAAGTAGGTGGCCCAGCCATTCTGCCCAGAGCAAGGGGTGCCCATGTCTTACATTAAGGTGCTGGAAGCCCTAGAACTTTAATTCCATTACAAAGGAAAAGGGAAGACATTAGAGGAAGTTGAGCAGAGGAGTATTTGACCTGCTTACATTGTACGTCGAGGTCAACAAAAAAGCATGTACTTTGTCTTGAAGAATAAAGAGAGTGCTTCTCATAGACCAAGAGTCAAAGAATGGGAAGGTGGGGGTGGAGCACTAACCCTGTGCCTGCATAGCACAGGCTGGGTTGGATGTCTAAATCTTCTCTTGACTACAGTTTTCTGAAAGTTTGATAAATTTTACATGAGGTTTATCACTATCTAAAATATTTGATTCCTGTTATCATTTAAAAATGACTGAATGCTGTCATACACCTCAAACCCACACATAAGTACTTTTAAAATGACACAGAAGAAATGCCTTGGATGCTTAATCATAAAATTATAGGATTTAATATAGAGTCCCATAGAACCGAAAGAATTTGTCCATGGTGTCATGGTCAGTTAGGAGTAGAGACTAGAACCTGGAGCACTAATTTTCAGCTTACTGCACTTTCCACTGGGCTTCGCCCTAGGGTATGATATAGGACCTCCTTTCTAAATCAAGACAAACAATGTTAAAGGATCTTGTTTTGTATTGGGCATATTGAGCAAGTTCCTCTTATCAAAGAGTAAAGAACTTCTAGAAAGCTTCTAGGATTATATCAAATTCACATTGTTAATCATACTAATGACTGATTTATTGATGATCAGGTAGTCAACCCATGTATCGTTTTTGGAAAGATGATCTTGAACAGCAAGCCCGTTCTTCTCACACCAGTACAGCACGTATGGTAGAAACCACTGCCTATGCTTTACTCACCAGCCTAAGTTTAAAAGAGATAAATTATGTTAACCCAATCATCAAGTGGCTGTCTGAAGAGCAGAGGTATGGAGGAGGCTTTCACTCCACCCAGGTAATGTTTCCTTGACTGTTTCATCTCCTTGGTGACATTTTACTGCCTCCCACACCTCACATTGCATACTTACTCTGCACTCCATGCTTTTATCCACCAAATGAGCACATATGAGACATGAACAAATGACCAGCACTGAGAACCTCTTAGAGGTCATCTACTAATACCCTTCTTACTCAGAGAAGGAACTCAGCCATTGGAGGTTCATGCAGGGAGTTAGTGGCAAATCCATAATCAGAACTCACAGCTTCCAAAACCAAGCCCATGACTTCCTTATTGATTCTTAGTGACCATGCAGGGCTAACAAGGTGATAAACAGTTGTGTCATATCCAATGTTGCCATGGCTGTCACACAGGCTAAGCTACTGATATTCCCTACCCGTCAAAAATAAATATTAATCATTGAATTTCATCTAACTACCAATGCACATTCATTTGAGTATATATATTTCACATTATAACAATTACATAGTTGTGTAATTATATGTATTTGCATCGCTTTGGACAAGATATTTGCTTTCCCTCTTGAATACTCAAGAGGGACTTTCTGTATTTAGAATGAAAAGTTTGGGTTTTCCAGGAAATTTCCAGCTTAAACATTACTTGAATTGTTAAGTTCTCTTCCAGCACTTAAATCCTAATGTACATCCACAGTCTAGCTCAAATGTTAACATAGTCTCTATTTCATGGATGTTTGGGCAATGATGGAGCATTTATGTATAAAATTTAGAGCTAGCGGGATGCTTTAGGACTACTTTAGTCATCATCTAATCCAGGAAGGCAAAGGGATTTCACCTTAGGGACAACTGTAAGCTCATCAGGAGTTTCCTACTGATCAGCATTGTCTGTCCTGGCCATAAGCAGAGAACAGCTCTGAGCTAGATACATTTTCCTGGTTTCATCTTCCCAAGGAAGATGATGTCCAGAAAGCCATCCATTTATGACTACCATGTGCAATACCTGCTAAATGTAAGGGGTTTCAAGATATACTACTTACACCCATGAAACTTATATTACAGTGGGAGAGGTCAGTGTTCAACTATAGTTACAAGTATTACAAATTGAGATGAAGACTGAAAGGGATGGAAGGGGAACATGAAAACAGAATAACGAAAACAGGGACATGTTTTGATAAGGAGATATTTAAGCCGAGACCCATGGATGAGAAAGAGTTCTGCAAGGAGTTTGAGTCATTCTGCTGCTGTCACACACTCCAGATACGCAGAGAACCAGACCTGAGGCTGCATGTTCTTCCTGTCCCTGGTAACAGTAGCATACTTACAGATAGGCAGGGAGGGGGATAAGAGAGACCTTACCTTCCAACTCCACGTGATGCCTCTTAGCCAGCTTCATTCCATTGGCTGAAATTTCATACGCAGATGGTGCTATTTCACCCTCTCATAAGGAAGGGCATTTGGAAATAGAGTCTATATAGATAAGAAAAACTTATTTTTATGTCTTGGTGATTGTTGACAGGATACGATCAATGCCATTGAGGGCCTAACAGAATATTCACTCCTGGTGAAAAAATTCCAATTGAACATGGACATCAAAGTTTTTTATAAGAATAAAGGTGACTTCTACCATTACAAAGTGACAGACAATCATTTCCTTGGGAAACCAGTAGAGGTAAATGAAAATTTTAACATTTTATAATATTTATAATCAGATGGGACCTTTAAAAATTACCTGATCCACCCTTACTTTTTTAAATATATCTCCTTAAGCATACGTGTATCCCTGATATGTCCTAAGCAGGAGTACCTGCTGCCTCCTGGACATCGAGCATTCAAAATGAAAGCACAATGTATCTGTGGACTTTGGTGAGAGCCCATTAAAACAAACAGAAAAGTAAGACCCTCGATAGTGATGTGAAAGGACAAAGGGAGGATTGTGACCCAGCTGAGAGGTGGAAAGAGTTTGTCAAATACATCCAATTGGTAGGGTTAAGTCTGGAAGAATCAGAATCAGTCAACCAGGTGAAGAGAAGAGAAGAACCTTCCAGAATAGAGAACAGCAAGCACACAGGTATGGCTGTAGAATAAGACAAGTCACATTTGCAGATCTGCCAGTGACTCCACCCAGACTGGTCACACTAAAGGCTGCGGCCAAAGCAAATTTGCCCTCCCAGTCCCCCAACAGCATATCCCATGTCCTTTCCTTACCACTGAATGTTTGATAAAATCCTGTGAGAATTTCCCAAAGAAAAGGAGACCAACATCAATAATAGTAACCACTAGCCTATAGCTGCTAATACATATTTTTAAATTATCACATTTATATTATTTTAAAGTACATATAAATATATAAATAGCTGAAAATAGCTCTTACTATCCATATATTCCACTATCAGCAAAGTAAATAGGCATGAGGGAAAAAAATTAACACAACAATCACACATTGGTGTTCCATAGTAAGACATACAAATATCAGTAAGGAGAGAAACATAAACATATTCCAATACTTGGAAATCCAGAGGTTTTGCATAAAAATCTGGTTTCCAGGCCCTCCCTGGTGGCGCAGCAGGTTAAAGCACAGCACTAAGAAGCTAAAGCCACTTCAATACAAGTTCGATCCTCTGCCCGGAGGTGACCCACATAGCATGGCAGACATCTCCTGACCTGCCTGCTGCTCCCCTCAGCATTGTACATCTTCCATCTGTCTGTTCTGCTCCCCATTCTGTCTCTGGTGAAGACTCTCACCACTCCTGCACCTCTGGCCTGTACCCCAGTTCTGTATGCATAAGTAAATCTTTTTTTAAAAAATCTGGTTTCCAAATGCTCTTGAAAAACCAAAAGATCTGGTGGTAAGATCTTTTGTGTCTTGGTGATTGTCTTTGAGGAGCTGAGAATACTTACTCATGTCTTCTTCTCTTTAGGGGTGACACTGTTAGGGGCCTCTTGTCATCGTAAAATCATTTAAAACTTAGTCCATGGCACTGCCTAAGTGTGAAACCTAGCCTGCTTTATACTGAAGAGTAGGGCAGCCCTCTCTTTCCACTGTTCTGTCCTCCCTGCCTATTAAATAAAAGAAAACTTGGTCTGTGTCCAACTTTCCAGGTGCCTCTCAATGATGACCTGGTCATCAGTACTGGATTCAGCAATGGCGTGGCTACAGTGCACGTAAGTATTTCACTGCAAGCCTGCTATGTGGGAGTTAAATGACTGCTTATTCTAGGTAATATAAATGAAAGGGAGTGACTTTGCCATGAAATCTGTGTTTGGGTAACCATGACTAAAGTAAGATTCATTTATCTGATCTTCTCTAGCTTTCTTGACAGCTGGCCTCACAATTTCTTTTTGAAAATGGCAATGTTGATCTTTGCATGTAGATAGTCTATATATTTGTAGAAATTATATATCTATAACGTAATACATAATTACATTTGTTTTATGGTTATATATACATAGGTAAGTGTGTAGATGCACACATAAACATTTTAAAGTTAGTAACAGTTGCATCTCTTTTATGGAGCACCATCGTGGACTCTGTGTGTTTATTAAACACACATAAATATAAATATATACAAGTATATGTATATGTTATGTGTATTAAATACATATATTTTTGTCTGTACGTACTTTAGCCATAGGTTACATAGACATACCCAGACAGCTTAGAGAAACTTGAAACGGCCAGATGACTAAAATAAAATAAACTGTATTCTGAGAATAAATTGTTTTTAATTATGCACTTTCCTTTAGCACATTTACTTGTCTCAAACTGTTTATAGGATTGTACTAGGAGGTGGGATGGGTTGTCTAATTTTTGATCATTTTAGTTACTCTCAATATACGTGCTTTTGGCAAGACCCCACCCATCCATGCACACCTATAATATGTTGCTCACCACAGTGCTCTGTGCACTCCCTGAGGGTTAATGGTACATGTCAAATTAGAGTGTATTGGCCCAGGGATTAATGTTTGAGGGAGTTTTCTGTGGAGTAAGGTGCTCAGATTTGGCTGCATAGGATCTGACCAAAACCCTTCCTGGTCAAAAGTTGGCTTGTTGATTTTGGCTTTCTGAGCTAAGCTTAGGTTGTAGAATTTTCTGAAAGTACAGCTGCTGCAAGTGTTCACTATTTAGATTATGAAAATGATACCTAAGCCTCTAATTGCACAACAGCTTGGTGCCCTTTCTACCTTCTCATTTTAACTAAAATCTTTTTGTTTATTTGTCCAAATGCAGGTAACAACTGTGGTTCACAAAATTAGTACCTCTGAGGAAGTTTGCAGCTTTCATCTGAAAATTGAAGTCCAGGACATGGAAGGTAAAAGCATGACTTCCACTGTAATTTTGGCCAAGCATAAAGAATGTCAGGAGCTTCCCTGACTAGGAAAAATGTGCTTGCTCAGAAAATAAAATTTTTTAATTAAATTCCTTAGCAGATTCACATCTCAGTAAACCTTACCATCATTTATCATAATAAAGGGAATTCGTTAATAATAGCTGGAAACTGATATTAGACAACTTAATAACTAAGTTAAATATATGTGCCATTGATCAAGAAATTATTTTTACTAACTACATTATTTCTAAAGAATGTAACTAGTTTTGAAACCACAAGAAGGTGTAATCTCAGATCCTTGAATTCTGTTACTTTTATGTCAGTTCCAGGACCTGGACTTCTTTATTGCCTGCTGGGATTCTATCCCCACCTTGTCTGTACTCCAGGAGGCCTGACTAGTGTACATTTCTCTGCCTCTGCCTTCACCTTGGTCTCTCCACTACTTATGTTCTTGTTTTTATATGCCTTTTTTTTTTACCCTGCTTTAGTGAACTGGTTCTCATCCAAATGCAAATCCACTTGCACACTCCAGTGGTCAAGGGTGTGCTGCCTCTCTGCTCTGAAATCTTCTATTCAAGGCTCAGAAATCTGTTCCCCTGGAAACTATCAAACTACCAGCAAAGCCAGGCATCAACTCTCCCTCCTTCCACCCTCCTCCTAAACATGTTACTGATGCATATTTACCTTAAATGACTCCTTAAGTTTTGAATTCTTTGACAGTTTACAGTTTATAATCTTATAAATGACAATTAGAATGACTTGTTCTAATTATTTAAAGTCTAGTCTCATTATTTAAAGATATTTTTGGTATCACCAATAAGCCTGAATTTCCATTAAAATCACCAAGAGTGCCAACTTCAACATCACAAATCATTTTAAGTGTATTCAGAGACCTGCTCATTAATGATTTTGCTCTTGATAGTTTCCAAAAACAGCTGACAATCGCTTACTCTCATTTTTGTTTGCTTATTTGTTCACTTGTGTTAGCATCAAGCATCAGAGGCTATGGGAACTCAGAATACAAGCGCATAATGGCGTGTGCCAGGTGAGCCAGTTTCCACAGGGGAGTCCAGATGGCAAGATCTCACTTTTGTTATGGTATCATTTCTTCACATCTTTTTAATTTTAAAATAGCCAGATGTAAAATTGCTCATGCTTTTCAATGCAGAACTTAGTGGGTTTTTTAAAAAGATTTATTTATTTTTGCATACAGAACTGGGGTACAGGCCAGAGGTGCAGGGGCAGAGAGAGGATTCACCAGAGATAGAGTGGGGAGCAGAACAGGCAGGTCGATGAAGTACACTGTTAAGGGGAACAGTGGCTGGGTCAGGAGAGGTCTGCTGTGCCATGTGGGTCACCTTCAGGGCGGGTGGGCAGGTATCAAACTCATGCTGAAGTGGCTTTAGCTTCTTAGTGATGTGCTTTAATCTGCTGCGCCACCAGGGAGGGCCCCGTAGTGGGTTTTCTTAAGTAGCTACTTACATAGAGAACAACTTTGTTTTATTCATATGTACTTTCTTGTCCTATTCTTGATCTTCTAATTCAAACATTGTAATATTAATTTTCTCCTGTCTTTCAGGAAGACATAAATATAATCTATGTATAGGAAAAGAAAGATCAAAACATTCTCTTACAAGCAGCCCAACTGTCTTACTTAAAAAAATGATATTTTCCCAGCAAAATCCTTAGCCATTTTCAACCAGTACTTCTCAACTCAGGCTATGCATTGAATTCAGTGGGAGAATCTTTAGAACCACTCCCAAAATTCCAACCACACCCCCAGAGGCTATGCTGATGGTAGGCAGGCTTGAAAACCACTCCGTTGAACCCTCTGCAGACTAATGCTAAAAGCTGAAATTGACCACTGTGTTCATTTTTTGTAGTTGCTAGGTAACAATTCACCACATACTTAAGAGCTTAAAACAATTTAAACTTATTATCTTATGAGTCTGGAAGTCAGGAGTCCTAACATTAAGGTGTCATCTTCAAAGTCAGCAGCACAGCATCTTCCAGTCTCTTCCTCTGACTCTGACCCCTGCTCACATCATCATATCTTCTGTGATTCTCCTGCTTCTTCCCCTTACCGAAGACCTTTGTGACTACATTGCCCGCCCCCCCCCAAAAAAATACCTCCAGGATAATCTCTGTATTGCAGGATCCTTAACACCTTCTGCAAGTTCCTTTTACCAGGTAGAATTCATAGGTCCTGGGAATTATGACATCGATATCTTTGGGGGCCATTATTCTGTTTACCACAGCCACCATCCTAATATGTATGTGAAAGTATAGGGCTTTGAAAATATTCAGGGTGAATACATTAGTAGCAGGGCCAGGACTAGATTAGTTCTTTCCCTAAGCCCTTAGTAGCTTTTACTGTGTTATTCTCTTAATTCTGCCTGATTTATATGGTTGGTATTTTGTTTAGTTTTACTGGTAATCACACATGATGACAAAACACTCAGTATGGATAACTTAGACATTTCATTGAGTTGTGTAATAGACTAGAACTGAAAGGGATTGTAGGAATGATATAATTGCTCACTTGTTATGAGAAATAAAGCAATAGAGACCTGAGGAAATGAAGTAATCTGCCAAGCTCTCACAGATTTTAATACCTCAAATCCCAGACCCTGACAGTCAGTCCAACTTCAAAACCACCTCCTTCAGTCAGGGTAAGCTGAGATCACTGACTAAAGCTAAGAAGCGACAGATGATTTCTACCTAGCGGTCTCCTTCCTGGCTATTCTCATCATTCTCAGTGCAGCCCCTCTCATATTAGGATTCCCTTACCAGCCAGCCAACTTGCAATCAACCCCCACTTCCTTCCTTGGGCAGTCTCTGCTGGCTATTTTGCCTAGAACACCCTTTTTTGTTCCCTAAGATCTTTCTATTAAGACCACCCATTCCCAGGCCGTGCCCTTCCTCCTAACTGCCACCCTGTCTTCCTCTGGGGAGGGATATGGGTAATAGCTGTGGTTAAATCCTCAGCACTGTCATAGGGCCATGTGAGCAAATGTGTTCTGGGCCAAACTGGGATCAGCACATGGGGACTCTTCTGAGGGCTTCTGGAGTAGGCACAAAGGAGAGCTCTGGATGGTGGAGTGGGATTCCAGGGAAAGCCTCTGCCATGAAGGACTCAACTGGTGTTCACCATATCAGCTGACTTCTGGCCCCTTCTAGAAAGCAATGATTTTAGACTCTGCTCTACAAGTTTCCTTCAGTTCTAGTCTATGCTACAAAAAAAAAAAAAGGATTTTATCAAAAACGCATTCCAGTTCATTGACAGGAGACTTAATTCCACATTGCTAATATACAAAAGAAGATGAATAGAGATATTATATGGAATATTCTATCCTTTGACTTTTACAAATTAGGGACAGAACGTTCAGAAATACCAGGTGAAGTATGTTTGGCTCCGTGACACTGAAGTTAGGTTGGATAAATTCCAAAAGTAACTGTGTAGTACTTGTTCACGTGAGAAAGTCTTTGCCTGTAAATGTTCTTCCTCCTAATTTAAAAAAAATAAAATGCCAGCATACAGTTCTACTTTTGGGGTGACTTCTGTATATTTAACTTTTTACAAGTTCTCTGTTGTATTTACAACAAAAAAAGTATTTTGTATCTCCCCATCTCTCGGGAAAGATTGCTGTCTCTGGCAGCAAGCAAAGGCCTTCTTGAAAGGAAGGCTTCTTTTCTCTAGCTGAAGTCATCCCCATGGCAACCAGTTGTCAAGGCCACAGCAACTTTTCATCCTGGAAGGCTTCCACTCTGGAAGCCTCTTTTCATCCTGTCCAGGGCGCATTTGCATCTAGGAGCAAGGGCTCTGTTTCTGGTTACACTCGGTGCAACCAGGGCGCTGTCCAGATGTCACATTATACTCTAATTTTCCCGACATGCTGTTCTAAGTTGTTAATTCGTTGAAGAGTAGGGTTAATTTCTTTAAAGCCAGAGATATTTTTAGTATTTTAAGTTATCATCGTAAATATTATATCGAAAATTTCTGATAGGATCTGCTTCTTACATGCTTGATATGAGTGGGATTGGGAGTGATCCCTGCCAGCTAACTCACCATTCCTTCCTTACTCATTCCTTTAGACGAGATCAGCTCATTGTCCACCTTGAGACTCTATCCTCCCAGAGTCTTCCTTTAGTTCTCACCGTTCTTCCCAGCCCCACTCTGATCCTCAACCTCAAAGAAGCACATTCTCCCTGCCCCAACTTGCCCCTCTTCTAAAGCCTCTAGCTGTGCCTCATGTGCACACAAGCCTTGCCACTCAAAATGAAGCCTTGGAATTACAAAGATAACTTCAAAACAGACATTTATATTTCTTTATAAGTAAGGTAACATCCTCCAGAAAAGGAAAATGATATGTGGAAAACTCTCAGCAGAGGTTGGATAAAACTTGTTTCCTGATTCCTTATTTCATTGTTCTCTCTTACTAGAAAAAGAAACAAGAAGGTACTAACACCTTTCTCCTAAGCTTCCCTTAAACACCCCACTAAGCACAATTTCTAGACAAAGGATGGTCCTTGAACCATTTTTTAAAAATAAATTATATGTTGTGGAAATTTTAGAGGAAAAAAGATATTTACTTTCAATTATCCAGAAAAAGTAACTGCTAACTTTTAGTGTAAGGCTTTCCACTCTTTTCCTACATATACTTACTGTGTCTTTTTCAATATATGACTTATTTTTTCCTGTGAGAAAAATAATTAAAGTGACAGTCAAGATACTTTTGAGTTCTACCACGGGCTAGTCAGTGTCTTGCACAAGTGTCTTGCTCTCAGCCTCAGTGTTCCCATTTGGTTAACTAAGAGCTGGATCTGAATGACTTCTGTGGTCTCTTCTAGCTGGAGAATGGTGGACCATTGAGATTGCCAGTCAAGTGAGAATAGAGTTGAAATAGGAGACTCAAATCTCTCTGCAACTCTGAAATTCAGAGATCCCAATGTATATGTTGTAGAGAGGCAAATAAATAGAGACCCTTCAAAAACTACTGCCCACTAAGGAAAAAAGTCTTTCTTAAATAACTCATTTATTTATTCCATTTCATAATCTCTAATTTGTTTTAGTTACAAGCCTAGCAGCGAAGAATCATCATCTGGGTCTTCCCATGCAGTGATGGATATCTCTTTGCCTACTGGAATCAATGCAAATACAGAAGACATAAAAGCTGTAATTTTTTTTATTATTATTGAGCAACAACAAATATTCACTGAATATCCAAAGCACTATGTTAACTGACAGAATTATGCTGAACCCAAAAACATCAAACACAAATCTGTACCTGATAAAATGCTAAGAATATTTTAAATTTTATTGAAGTACCATTGGTTTACATAACTAATAACATTGTGAACAGCATAGGATCCCCCTCCCAGGTGCACTCATGTAACACACCCACCACCAAGGAACCCAGAGACCACCAAAAAGCTGAACAGTCTTTATTATCATGAATATTGGTTTTCTTTGCTGCATTATTTCATAAAGTCATTTCCTTTCCTTCTGCTGTGTCACTTTCAAAGGATCACCTGGCATATTCTCTCTAAACTGACTACCTATGTTTTGATGTTTCAAAATGAAATAGTGGCATATACTTGCCTGTTTCTAAAAAATTTGAGTTATATGACGATAAGTTCAGACTTTATCAAAAGGAGGATTGCCTTTTATTGTCTTTGAATCATGAACTCAAGAATTACATCTATGGGATCTAATTCACCAGGTGAATTATTGAAACAAAAAACTGTGAAATTTAAACTTTTCTCTTTTCTCCCTTAGCTTGTGGAACCAGTGGACCGACTATTAGATGATTACCAAATCAAAGATGGACATGTGATTCTGCAACTGAGCTCGGTAATACCACCTCCCACAATTTTTTCTTCACTATTATCATTTAAAATTAACAGCCTAAAATACGTTGAGTCTGTTCCCTCCTATAATTTTTAAATCCTTAATTTGTCAAACAGATTCCCTCCAATGACTTCCTTTGTGTCCGATTTCGGATATTTGAACTTTTTCAAGTTGGGTTTCGGAGTCCTACGACTTTCACAGTGTATGAGTACCACAGGCCAGGTAATCAACTCTGGTAATTCTTCAGAGGAATACTTTGCATTCATTAAAGAACCTTTGGAGATTGACTCAGGGCCTGTAAATTTAATATATTAACTCTCTCAGAGGGCTCACTCTTCATAGAAATAAACTTGAATCTCTCCTTTTTAGAGATCCCTAATCTTCCCCAGAGTCACTTCTATTCCATCTACACTCTCATCACATTCTGCAGTAGTTTTATTATAGCAGTTGTCACATTGCATTGTAATGATCTCTTTGCGTGTCTTTTTCACCAACTGCAGACAGGATGTTTTCATACTTGTATCCTTAGTGTCTAATTCAGTGCCAGGTACCTATTAGATATGGACAATATTTGTTGAATGAATGATCCCAGATTTGATCACTCAGCTACTACTAAGAATGTTACCTGGAGAACTTTGATTCACAGAGATAAACCACTTTGAACAGTGCTACTTGTTCGAAAATTCTTAAAGTGACAAACTCTGACATATATTCATAGAAGCTACTTACTTTCTCTTCCTGTGTATGTATGTGTGTGTTTTAGGCTTTTACATACATTTGGGTTTTTCTTCTCTCCTCCACACCCTAAACAAATACAAGTCTTTCAGTAGACTCTCATAATGTGATTTATTTCCTCTCATTTGCACCAAATATTTTCATTCTAAGACATGAATATTGAACAGTAAAATTTCAAGCCCAGACCTAATTAACAAAGGGAGATCATTTTGAGGGCAGAAGGGCCCATGGCAGGACAGACAATTCATAATCTCTCTGGTCCTTAGCTGCAAAAAAGGGTTTTATTGGCAAATGTGTTGTACATTAATCAAGCTACTTCTCCTAACCACATCTCCATTGACACAGATAAACAGTGCACCATGTTCTATAGTACGTCCCCTTCTAAGCTTCAGAAAGTTTGTGAAGGAGCAACGTGCATGTGTGTAGAAGGTAAGCTTCATGTGCTATGTTTGGGCAGCTTCCTTACAGCAGCCACTCCTCAATGGGGGCTCATCAGAGTCAGCTGCTGTTTAACAAATTGACTTTTCTTAGAATAGAAATATAATCTTAGCTGACTGAGACAAAATTTCTTGAGTACTGTAAAGCTACTTTTGACAACATCTGAACAACCCATAGTTTCCAATATGCAAAGACAGAGAAATCCATTCAAATAGTTGTTAGATATCATAAAGGTAACATGATATGAAATTCTTACTTTCGCTTGGTCTTTTTAATATTACAAGCTCACAGCCTAAGAGAGCAAAGGCTCAGAACTCAGCTGCTAGCTCTTCTTTCTCCCATACCACCACCATAATTGAAATATAATTGACAAGTAACATTATGCAAGTTTAAGGTGTACAACATGTTGATTTGATACATTTGTGTAATATAAAATGATTACCACCACAGCATGGTGGTAATTCCTCCATTATGTCGCAAAGTCACCATTTCTTTTTCATGGGACTGGCCCTTAAGGCCACTGTCTCAGCAACATCCAAGTATATGATACAGTACTATTTACTGTGATCAACGTGCTATATATTAGATTCTCAAATGTAATAACCCTGCAACTGGCAGTTTGCATTCTTTGACCAATATCTCCCCATTTTCTCCCGCAACCTCTGGTGACCACTCTGTTTCTCTGAGTTTGACTGTTTTAGATTCCACATATAAGTGACATCATATAGCATTTGTCTTTCCCTGCTTTACTTATCTCACTTAGCAAAATGTACTCAAGTTTCACCCAAGTTGTCACAAGTGGCAAGGTTTCCTTATTTCTCGGGATTGAATAATATTCCATTGTGTCTTTATAGCATATCTGCCTTGTCCATTCATCGGATGATGGGCACTTAGATTGTCACAAAACTATGGCTGTTGCGATAGTTCATGGACATGAGTGTACAGATATCCCTTTGAGATACTGATTTCAATTCCTTAGGCTACATTCCCAGAGGTGGGATTACTGAATATCATGGTAGTTCTATTTTTAATTTTGTTAGAAATCTCCAATTATTTTCTAAAGTGGCTGTGCCAGCACCTTTTCTTTCTCCCTTCATTCCTAATTAGTGACACAGACATTCTATTAATTTTTCAGTCCCATTCAGTCTTTTGTAAGTCCAAGGCAGCCTTCTTGGGCAAGGAAGAGACTCCAGAGCTCAACTACTTCATGAGCTCTGGATTGGTTTAGGTTTTATCTTTCAAAATCCTTAATATCTGCACATTTCCTAGGTATATATAGTACCCACATAATGGTAGTAAATAAGTCAAATTATTATTTGGTTCTTTCAAAAGACTTGATAGCATTCAAAATGGAAAATTTTCCTTCTTTCCTCAATGGAAGCTCTATACTCAGAGCTACGGGTCTAAAGAACTGTATGTGGAGTGATTGCCCATTCCAAGATTAAGTCTTATGTCTAAGATTGCGTTTTTGTTTGTTATGGCTTTCTTTTTTTTTTTTTTTTTTTTTTTTTTGCTTATGTGGTGTTTTACTTTGTGCAAGAGGAGAAAATGAACAAGTCTTAGGAATCTGGTATTTGTGAGGTTATATTTCTGTCTCAGGGCTCATGAGGAACTAAGTTTATTCCCAAAGAGAGGTCTGCTTCCTTATATTTACCAAACTTTTGCCCATTTTTTACAAAATCCAGCTGACTGTGGACAAATACAGACAGAATTGGATCTGACAATCTCTGCAGATACTAGAAAAGAAACAGCTTGTAAACCAGAAATTGCATATGGTAAGTTCAAAAGTTCAATGTACAGTTCCATTAAACATGAAATTTTGTGAATGCATGGTTAGGAAGATCAACACTGTTACACAGTGATTATATGGATACAACTTTCCACATGTTCCTTTGAAGGAAAATGCCATCAATTTTCAGCATTAAAATGCCAAGTTGTTTATCCTTCAGCAAAGAAGTGTGATTTCCATTAAAAATGATGAGAGTGACAGACACACCCAACCAAGACACTTTACTTCAAAATATCCCTTTGAATTATGCTGCTAAAACATATTCAAAGTGAACTTTAGAGAAACCACAAAGGTATAAGATTTCATTACTGTATTCTTCCAGTCATCAAACAATAGCAGAAATAAAGCTAATTTGGGAGTTAAGGTTTTTCCAAAATCCTTTCAAAGACAAAATTAACAATACAAATACAAAATAATGTTTATTGTATACAGAATTAGAAGAGTCTGAGACTCTTCGTATCTCATGGAGTTCCCCTCCTCATTGTCCAGATTTCAAAGTTAAATCAAATGCACAAATATTTCTCTCCATTTCCTTAGAAAACGAGCTCCTTTATTTTCTATTCATTGTTTATGATATTTCTTCCCTTGTTTTGGTCTGTTTCTTTCTTTCTTTTTTTTAAAGAGAGTAATCTACACTATCTAAAATCTTTTCTTGAAAACTGGCATGGTATTATTTGTAAATAAGTAGTCTACTTCCCTCTTTAGGAGGAGGGAAGACTAGAACAATTGTTCAGCATTTTGAGTTTACCAACTGCTTTAATATATGGTTTCTCTTTAGAGTCCCAGGGGACTCACCCTAGGTAACAGAGGATTATCTTTACATGACTAGTGAGGAAACTGAGGCTCAGACAGATTAAGTAATTCACTGACAATCATACAGGAAGTAGGTGGTGGATCTCAAGTGCATCCTGGCCTCCAGTATTTTTTTCCATGCTATCGCACTGAATTATGTTCATGGAAATATGACCATCAGATTTAATTTTGTATGGTTTATAGTCTTTTCCTTGGATATCTACCTTGATTTAAAAAAAAAAAAAAGCTAGCCATCTGCTTAATTCAGCTAAGACCTAGTGTAGTTTTTAAAATACAGAGACTTGAAGAGAATGCCTTGTTGTTTTAACAGACAAAAACTTTGTCTTTTAATTATTTCTTCCCTCCATCCTAGAGCTATTTTAACTCTTAAATATCAGAAACCCATTTTAGCACAGAGAATAAATGTAATCTGGATTTAGTTTATTAGTTTCAAGAAAAAGACTCACCTGGCTTTTGAGGGAGTTAATCAAATTTTATTGATTTACCATTTGTTTACAAAAAGATCATTATGAGAATACATGAGTTGGCTTTCTTGGTGACTACAATAGATACTGGTATAAAAGAATAAGAGCAAAATAGTTCCTCCTTTCCACCTATGCCCTTTGTCCATATCTCCCACAAAGACTTATGAATCTGAAAACCTGGACTTTTCTTTTTAAATCTGTTTTAACAACTAACTTATACAGTCTTTGGCCTGGCCACAATTATTGTTTCATTAATCTGTATACCTAGAGAGCTAGCTGGGACCTCAAAAAACAGTCAAAGCTTTTAAGTCACTCACTTCAACCCAAAAGTGAAAATAAAAGGAACCTTCCTCAGGCTTTATAGAAGAAACAGATCCGATCAAGGTGATCCCTCCAGAGGTACATGGGTTGAGCACTGACGCGTGAGTGAAAAAACGGGAGGGGAGTGGCTTCCATCAGACCGTTGTCAACCCCAGCAAAGATGAATCAGAAAACAGAATCCTATCAAAAACCAAAGATCAAAAAGCCAGTGGAGGTATCAGTGAAATTGTGGCAAAGGAACAAGGAGGCTGAATGAGAGGTTAGGGCCTCTTTGGTGGCCATCACTAGGGGAATTAAGGGGCCCAGAAGCAGGATTCCACTAACCCTTACAAGAACAGAACCTGCACTTTCTGTGTAATAGTGGTGTGTTTGCTCTGGTGCTACTGTCTTTTCTTTTCATTAAAAGTGTTATCCTAATCTGCCTGTTTCATTACAGTGGCCAGGGCTAGTGATTCTGAGTAGATTGTCAATCAGACAGAATAGTGTGAAAGCTTTTTGGAAGAAGTAAGGCCTGTGTCAGAGCTCATTTATTTGTGAAACTTTGTTTTCTATTTCACATAACATTAGTGACTTTAAGCATGAATTGTTTTTTGTTGTTGTTTTTACAAGCCTATAAAGTTAAAATCACAGCCATCACGGAAGAAAATGTTTTTGTTAAATACACTGCAACCCTCCTGGACACCTTCAAAGCTGGTGAGAACTCATTCAATCATTCTTTCCTTCATCAAATATTTAGTAGTCTACTTACTGTGTGCCAGGCATATTAGATATCTTGAATAAGATATGCAGAGTTCCTTCCTTCATAAAATTTGTATTCTGTTTGAGAGACATATTTTTAAAAGAGGAAATAGTTATAATAATTATTAATCTTAAATTATTTTTTTACATAAATAGCTTCTATAAAATAATTATAAATAGGCCCTCCCTGGTGGTGCAGTGCATTAAAGCTCTGTACTAAGAAGCTTAAGCTACTTCCGCATGAGTTCAATCCCTGCCTGCCCCAGAGGTGACCACATGGCGTGGCAGACCTCTCCCGACCCGCCCGCTGCTCCCCTCAGCAGTGTACTTCGTCGATCTGCCTGTTCTGTTCCCCACTCTGTCCCTGGTGAATCCTCTCACCCTCCGCATCTCTGGCCTGTACCCAAGTTCTGTATGAATAAATAAATAAAATCTTTTAAAAAATAAAAATAAAAATTATAAATAATATGATAATTATATCTGTATAATTATAAATCATAATTAAGAGGTACTTGTAGAAGTTAACCATTCCTTAAAAGGCAGAGTGGAATGTAGAGAAAGTGAATGTGCAAAGGGCCTGAGACAGAAAAGAAACCCTCAGGGAACTAAAAGATCATTAGTGTTCTTAGGTGAGGGAGTAGCTAGTGTAGGAGGACACCCAGAGACAGGCAGGAGCTGAGTCATACAGAGATCTAAAAGCATAGTAAGAAACCTGGAGTTCATGTTAGAAGTTTGAAGAGAAGCTAATAAAAGGTTTTAGGTAGGCAAACACAGTAATCTGATTTATGATTTTAAATCCTATGTTGGCTTCTATTGGAAGGGAGCAAGATTAGAAACAGATAACCAATTAAGAGCACCTTTGAAGTATAAAGCCTTAGGTCTGATGTTATGTGAGTTTGAAAAGTAAATGACAGTTGTTATAGCAATACAATAAAATTAACTCATATGACAGTTATAGCAATACAATAAAATTAACTCCTATGTAAAATAACATAAAACAACATGGTAAAATTGTGTTTCCTTTTGTTCTCTAAATTTAACTAAGTCACAAATGTTATAAACTTGCTTGCCTAATGGTATCGGTTATAACTCAAATGATTCATTAAATCATTCTAATAATTACAAATAAATTTTCAATTTTTAGAAATTGTCAAGTGTTATTTTACATCCTTATTAAAGGATGCCCATGTCTGATCTTTGACTTGACAATGATAAATCACGTCAAGCTTCTCCAATCACATCTCTCTCAAATCAATAGTCATTGTAGATAGTCTCAATAAATAATCTCTCCTAACAGCAATAGTAGTTTGCGATGCTGAGGCCACTCTCAGTCACTGCTAAACTGGCAGTAATTATACTCAACATGTTTCTGACTCTGATGATGCCATGTGACATTTTTATAAATTTAATATACTCTTCTAGTAAAATCACAAAAACAGTTTATTGAAGTGTCGTATTTAGGTTTCTTCATTTTTAAAATTTTTATTCCCTTTAGCCCTCAGAGTTTTACCATCATTTGACAATGTTTCAGGATTCACAAACTTTTAACTTAAAAGTTCATTGTATTTTTCATTTTCATAGCTTTTCTCTTAAGTTATATTTTACTTTATATAAAATGACATTATTCTTCATTTTGTAATAAACCTTGCTTCACTTTCATAGTCACTTATTTTTAATGTTATCAATCATTAACCTGTCAGCTAACTAAAACTCAAACATTTTTTTCTTAGAAAAGTAAGATAGTATTCACAAATTGCTAGGCTATTATAGACTAATTACTAAAAAGTATGTAGGTTCATTTTCGAAATGTTTGCTTTTGTCTTACGATAATTATTAAAGGAAATCTATCAGAAATGACATGATTTTCAAATGGCCTTCGCAGTTCTAGCATTGTAAGCTGTCCATCAAAATCCCAATATTTTCCCAATTTTCATTATTGTAATTAAGTTCTTCATATTATTGCTTAATTATGTCTAGTATACATTAGATATATGTAAGTACCACATTTATGAAGACAATATTTAAGTGATTGTGCATAACCTGTATGGTATTATCCAGAGACATTTGACAGTGTTAGATTGAAATAGCTGGAAATTTCAGAATTTTGATGAAAATTAGCTTGAAGCAATGGTGTACCCTAGAATTAATATCACTAATATTGTTTACCATTTATATAGTTACCATTTCCAGTTTCTATTACTTACTGCTTATCCACAGCTTTAGAAGCTTTTCAAGATTGAATAATTAGGATAAAACTGCTAGAGAATTAAAGATGGGTAGAAATTCAGTGTTAAAATGGGGAGTCATAGGCAAAGAACTGAGTTCATTGGGAGTCACAAAAGTTATCTAAAAATTCCCCAAATCTTTCACACATCTTGCACCTTTCAACAGAGTTGCCTACTGCCAGCTACCAAATACTTTCAGCTTTTGTTGTATCACATGGAGATTAATATTGTTCAACTAGGGCACTGTCCTGGTGGCTCAAGGGGTTCAAGTACAGCTATGCTATGAAGCTATCCACAGCCACTGCAGAAATGAGTTCCACCCCCAGCCAGGGAATGACCCACATGGTGCAGCAGATATCTCCTGTCTCCCCGCTGCCCCCCTCAGCAGCATATTTCAGTAGATCCTGTTCTGTTCCCCACTCAGTCTCTGGTGAATCCTTTCATCCCTACACCACCCACACCTCTGGTCTGTACCCCAGTTCTTGTATGCATCAGTAAATAAATCTTTTAAAAAAGTATATTGTTCAACTACAGGAAGTTTCATTTAATTCTTAGTTCTGAAAAACTAAGAAGCACTTATAGCTGACCTAATAAGCACTTTTAAATTGACCCCCCTGAACCTCCCAACAGTTCTACAAGGTAGGTTTATGATCATGCTCATTTTCAGGTAAGGGGTTTGAGCATAAATCATTGTCCAGGGCCACACAGCTGAGAAATGGTAGAAATAGGTTTCATTCTAGAGCCCGACTCCAGAGTGCCAAATCTTAACCATATGGACATGGTCACTCTCCAATAGCCATCAGCCTCTCGATGTAAATTTATGCTGTTTCACAAATAGCCATGAGGAACTGGAATGCTTAATTATAACTGTGACATTGTAAACTTGAATGTGATGATATTACATGTGTATCTCTCAGGAGAAGCTGCAGCTGAGAAAAACTCTGAAATTACCTTTATTAAAAAGGCAACCTGTGCTAATGCTGACCTGGTAAAAGGAAGACAGTATTTAATAATGGGTAAAGAAGCCCTCCACATCAAACACAACTTCAGTTTCAAGTAAGTCACCAATACTTTGGAGTCTCTAATCTTGTCTTCAAAACTGAGTATAATTTATTCTTTAATATACTACACATTTCTTATGTGCCCAGCTGTAAACAACTTGTTGTGAATATAAATGAGGTTAGAACAGAGAACTACTCACAGCCATTAGGGAAGCCTTGGGCTTACTCACTGATAAGCTGAGTGCCAAGTCTGACGATGAACCAGAGGGCACTTCTCCAAACCCATGCCATACCTGATTCTTCAGTGATATTCCTCTGACCATTCCTCAGGATGTTCTGTTTGTAAAAAGGAATTTTTTTTTAATTTTAATAAATTCATTTATCTATTTACATCATTAAGTTTGGGGCAGTACTTGGTTTCTCCCCGCAGGTATAGTCCCTGAAGTTCTCCCACCACAAAGCACTAGTAATTCATCTCTACCATCCCCTGTGTTCTTCCCACCCCTGTTTTGACACCTGTCTCTTCTTCCCCTTCTGTATGCCTCAGATCTGTGGTCAGCTTGCAAGTTTTCTCTTTTTCCTGACTCTTTGTTTGGTTTCTCTACATTCCATATATAAGGAACCCATTCCAGTACTTCTTTTTCCTTCTGACTTATTTCATTGAGCATTGTCCCTTCCAACTCCATCTATACTACTGCAAATAGCTTGAGATTATCTTTTTTGATCACTGAGTAGTATTCTATTGTGTATAGGTATTACATCTTCTTGATCCATTCATCTGTTTGGGGATATTTGGGTTTTGTCTACATATATTAGCTAATGTAAATAGTGCTGTAATAAATATAGGAGTGTGGGGCTTTGTTTTTTGTTTTTGTTTCTGTTTTTCAAATTAATGTGTTTATGTCTTTTGGGTAATTCCTAGGAGTGGAATCATTGGATTGTGTGGTAGGTCTTTTTTAGTTTAAGGGGAATACAGCTTTCTGTAGTGGCTGGACCAGTTTACATTCCCACCAGCAGTGTAAGTGTTCAAAAAGGAACATGTTTAAATACACATTTTATCATATGGTTTTAAAAAGCAGACATTGAAATTGTTGCTGGCTCTGCCTTTAATAACCATAGGTGAGCCAAGCAGCATCATGATCTGATCTCAGGGGTTGTGATGATCTGATGATGTCCAGGGAGAGAGGCTGGTCAGGAAGAGTTTGCCAAGTAGCCTGACCTCTGGGACCTGCAGGTGGCTGGGTTCTTACAAAGGCAATCAAATTCAGCACCTACCTCACAAGGGCTTCGTTTTCACATTTTCTTGGCAGGTATATCTATCCTTTAGACTCCTTTACCTGGATTGAATATTGGCCTACAGACAAAACTTGTCCATCATGCCAAGAATTTTTGGGGCTATTGGATGAATTTGCTGAAGACATATTTTTAAATGGCTGCGAAAATGCCTGAAGAAACTGAGCTGGCACAGTTTTCACTGTGGTCTCCTGTTGTTGAAGTTTCTTTATGCTTTTTTTTCTTTTAACATTCATGCTGGTCTTATTTGGAAAGCTCATTTATCTAAATTTAGTGTCACTTGCTTTGCTTAGAGAACCTTTCAAGTGCTGTAACTTTCTGAAATAACATGACCTTGTGGGGGATAGAGACAGACACTCATTCCAAGGCTAACAGACACAGAAACAATAAATTAGAATTCCTCCTAAAACCTACCACTCAGGGTTGGGGATGAAAGAAGAGCCCATTGAAATGTGGTATCTTATAAAAACATGGCCTTTGCTTGAAAGAAAATGCCAAAGAACAGAAAATTGATCATTAAAGCCTGACTGTGCTTTCAGAATGTGGGCAAAAGCATGTGATTTTATGATAAGTCATCTTCGACCACAAAGACAGGCAAATTGGGAGAGGTGGAGAAAGACACCAATGGAGACCCTTAACCCTGGGGAGACCCTTACCTGTGGGGAGGTCCAGCTTCAGAGCCCTCTGCAATGAGAAGGTAGAATTTGTCTCTCCAAACTGGGTAAGATAGCCTTCTCCCTCTTCCAATCTTAGGAACCTGTTCTCACATGGATTCCCATTAAAGTCTCAAGAAACTCAGAAGGTACTGGAATGATTCCTACCCCCAGAAAATGAAAGCCTCAAAAAAAAGGAAGCAATTTTCCGAGACTTGTAAGGGACAGGGTCAGAGACCAAATCCCCCTAGACACTTCCCTATTCTACATCACTACACAATCAAATGTCAGGTGATATTTTCTTAGACTAAGGCAGGATACAGTTGGAGTTTCTTAAATAGAGTTTAATCAGTCCCAGGGAACTAGCACAAGGAAAGCTGAAGATAAATATTCTGAATATAGTAATAGCAGTGACTGAAAGGTATGCCCTTTTGGAAAACTATATTTTACCAGTTAGGTGAAATGACTCCAGGCCTTGCACTGTGCCTTGTAAATCAAGCTAGGATATTCCACAACTAGGAACTGAGAATTTATTTCTGTTAATGTCGATGGTCACAGTTACAGGTGCTCCCTGGGCAAAAGCAATTGACATGTCCAGTGTTCCCATCTCCCTGCCAGTGAGAGGTGAGGGCCCTCCTGCACAGGCCTGGAGCATCTGGGATCATCTTGCTGACACGGGGTGGCCGCTCTTGCAGTGCTCCTGCAGTGCCAGGCACCTTGAACTGTCAGGTTACCTTCTCCATAGCATCGTGGCCTGAGCAGATGCGGCCTTGGTGGCCTAATCAACACACAACACAGCAGGACTTGATTTTCAAACATAAAAATTGCCTTTATGAGTTAGCCTGGCACTTCACAAATTTGCCATCTCCTCTCAGCTAACTGCTATGCACATCATCAAAGCCACGATATAACATTTTCTTTAAAAGTAAATATATTTCTCCAAAAGTCAATCTAGTTAAGGAATACTTTTAAGTAAATTAAAGTCTAGGTTGTTTTTAAGGCAAAAATCAGGAGGTTGACATGTATCAATAGGTGACTGAGGTTTAGAAAACTGTCTTAAGATGATGAGCCAAGCTTGAGGCAGGCAACCTCACTCCATATTTCTCAGTGAGAGACCCCAAGCCAGAGTCACATTCAGCCTTATACCCCACACCTATGATATGAATCTATTCAGCAACATCCAACAAATATGTATTGGCTGGTAATTATAGGTCATTCCTTGTGATTTTAACCAAAACCTCTGCCTGTGGAACTTAGACTCCAGCTGGGCGAGACATGCAGTAAATAATATAGGCAATAATTAGGGAGTTGATCTGAATCTTAGCAGGTAATAAGAGCTGTGAGGAAAAGAAAGTGTGGAGCAGAGTAAGGGAAATTGGGAGAGGTAGAATTTTAAGTAGAATGATCAGATCAGGGTGGGCTTAAGTGTGATGAGAGGTGAACACTGCTCAAGCATAAAGCCGAGCCTTTCTGGCATGTCAGAGATGAGTAAGAGGGGCAGAGTGAGCTAAGGAGAAGGTAGACAGAGACCAGGCTGGCAAAGCCATGAGACAAGTTTGCACGGGTCATGGAAGGGGTGTTGGCTTTAGTTGGAGGCAAGGAGAGTCGTTGCAAGGTTTTGGGCAAAGGAGTGGCATGGTCTGTCTTAACCCTTAAAAGACGGACTCCAACTGCTACACTGCCAATAAGGCAAAGGAAGAACTAGAGAGCACAATTAGGAGACTGACGGTGACTGCAAACCAGGGGAGAGCTGTGGGTAACTGAACAAAATTGAGATCATTGACACTGCAACAGAGAGACAAAACTATGAGAACCATAGGACTTCTCTGGAAAGTCTCAAGGATATGAGAACTACTTCAGGCTTTGAGTTTATGATGGCTGTTAGGGAGGGTTCAAGCAAGTGGGGCTTTGCTTGAGATTTGATGCTATAGAAAAGTGGGGTAATCCTGTGATTACCTTAGTTCTTATCCAACTATAAGGAAATCGCCATTGCTCATTAGCAAGAAAAGGAGGGGTGATGTTCTTGTTTTATTCCCTGTTCACATGATCATGGAAATGGTCTAACCGTTTATCTGTCACTGTTAATATCAGACCCAGGGAACAACACCTCTGAGAACCAGGTTGGCCTCTGGGGACAATGAGGCCCAACTCCCAACCTGGTTCTCAGGTGTCCAGGACTGCTTTTCTCTTACAGATTCTCTTTCCTAGGAAATGCACATATGTGTACAGTGCACAACTTTGCATACTTTTCAGTGCCCCTTAAAGTTCAGGCATGGGCCATGTGACCGAAAGCCCCTCCCTAGAAAACTAGAAATTTAGCAGCCAGATCCTCAAACTTCACAGATACTCCCCAAAATGTTGAGTCTGCATGTTTAAGGTGGTATCAGAGACATGTCACCAGGGACAAGATTCATCTTGGTTGAGAGATTAAAATATTCCTTTTGCCTCTAAATCAGAAAGAAAAAAAGGAAAGACATGAGGATTGAAGAAGGGAAAGAGTGAAGGAGAGAGGAAAGAAAGAGAGGGAGGGAAAGAAGGCTTTGTTTGAACATGAGAACTCCATTTCTAAGAACCTTCTGGATTCTTCTCAGCTGGCAGAGTCCCCACCATGACAGACATGTTGGCAAAATGGATCTTTTCCTTGGAACACGGAGTCTACTCCTTCACTGTCTCCATCATTATAATCAGATATGCATCTGTTTTATGTACACAGCCCTGACTTATATAATCCTAAAATGTCCAGCCAGGAAGGACCTGGACCTCATCTCAGCCAGTTCCTTCCATTTCACCTGGGAGAATTGAGGCCCAGAGCAGTACTGGCCAGTGGTCACAGCAACGGGGCTCGAGCCCAAGTCCTCTGACCCTCAGCCTGGTGTTCTTTCCACCACACAGATGAGTGCAGATTACAGAGAAGTCCACATTGACTCCCTGTAAAGAGGCACTTCTCACAGCCAGAGCTGTTAGAGAGAGCTGGCTCCAGGAGGGACCACGTTCCAAGCTCAGTCCACCCAACACCTTCCAGCAACATTGTAGAAGCAACGCCAGGCAGGAGGTTGGCCTGTGGCGTCCAGTGTCCCTTCAGCTGAGAGGCCATTAATAGAAGGAAAACATAAGCCTTCTTCCTTAAAGCCTCCATTTTAACATCAGAAAAATGGGAGTACTAGTAAATCCCTCTTCCAGGGATTTGTGGGAAACCTCAACAAGATAACCAGATTGTGTGCATAAAGTGATGAGTACAGAGTTCATTCTGTTTGTGATTTCCCTCCACTTCACGCATCTCCTTTTATGCTGTTGTGTGCTTCTTTTTTTCTCCTTCTAGTCACTGTCATCTTATAGTTTCATTTTTCCTAGGCAAGTGTTTTTTTTTTTTATTTCACCTTTTTAATAATGTTCCTAGCAATTGTTAGGTATAGGCATTCATTTACAAGAGTCTCCTACTGCTCCCGTGACTGAACAAGGATACAAACACAGGAGCAGGACCCTGCTGGTCTGCTCTGTATGGAACTGCATACAATAGTCCTCTCTGTGCCCAGAGGTTTAAGCACAGAGGTAGAGATTCCACGTCTCAAGCAGAAAGACTCCAGTCTGGAAATAGCCTCTCCAAAGGGGCCTCCAGTACTTTTCAGAGTCCAGGACCTCCAGTGTCCTTGACTTCCACCCCTTCGTTATTTTTGCAAGCCAGCTGGCCTCCAGGACAGCCTTGCTGAATGGAAGAGAGGTGTTCTGGTGAACTCGTTCGCTGACGCAGCTCCTGCAGCCAGACCCAGGTTTGCCAGGGGGCAGTGCAACCGGGAGCAGAGCAGGGGCCTGCCAACTTGGTTGATCACTGGCTGCCACTGGTGCCGAGCACCTTGACCCACCAGGGACAGCAGCTGTGACCGGCCACCCCCACTTCCAGGAAATGCCTTCCTCCCTCACATACCAGAACCACTAACTTGGCACTCAAGATGCCAAAGGTTGCCTAACAAATGAAAACTGATCTTACTGCCTACAAAGCAATTTGACAGTGTATTTCAAGATTCAAAATATATTTATATCTCTTGATCCAGTAATCCTCCTCCTGTTGGATTATTCATAAAAAGCAAATGCCCAAGAGGGAGCAAAAGGTTTATGCACAGAGATCTTCTGTGCAAGATTAATTATTCATTCAATAAATATTTACTGAATTTCTCCTGTGTACCAGACATAGGTCTAAGTGGTGTAATCAAGATAAACAAGGCCCCTGCTCTCTCAGAGGTTATAACTGGGGAGAAAGATAATAAATAATGTGGGTGGCTTCTCTTGACTGGGTCATTAAGGAAAATCTCTCAAATGCCATTGACTAAGGTGATATGTAAATTGAGAATCTCCGTCAAGACATGATAACCATATGAAGGCCCAAAAAGGGAGAAAGGGAGAGCAGAAAGGGAGGCAGACCAATATAAACATCCAGTGGTGCAGGGAACGGCAAGAAAGCCAATTAAAGAAAGCAAGTGACGTGAAATGAGGTGAGAGGAGAGGGAGGGCCAGACAGAGAAGATTGGTAACACAGGCGAGGTGTTTGGATTTCATTCGGTGCAGAGCAAGGGCTTGAGGCCAGGTG